AGACGCGGTCTGGCGTAAACCTACCTTGTAAGTAAAAGTACAGACAAAAAAGTCAGTATAGCTCTGAGAGTGCAAGGGACGCCTGTTGCCGTAATGTGGTGCAAATAGTACAAGGTAGGTGTACGCCAGACCGTGTCTTGTCGTAACAGGCTTCGCGATGCTGCGCCAGTTTCGACAATCCACGCCTGGCGTGGATTGTCTTCCTTGGCCTGCGGCGCCAGCCTGCCTTCGGCAGACTGCTTTCCTAGACAGACCGTAGAAATGGGCGTGATCCCCTCAAAATAAGCATTTGGTCATCAAAATCTACACTAATAGAACTTAACTTTGGGTCGGGGGTCCAAATGGGTTCTATTTTCGCCATCAGCAAACCTCCTAAACATAGGAAACGACATGAAACTTGACAAAAAGCTGAAAGTACCTAAAAAGTTGTCTTTTTTGCCGTTTTTAAGTGTTTTTTGGTAGTTTCAACCGCAGGAATTGAGATAGAAAGCTGAATTTTCGTGTGTGGCGAGTCAAGGATATACCTAATGACCCTGCAAAATCTCAGAAGAATCGGCCGAGCCGTTTAGGATGAGTAGTGCGGACACACAGACATGAAAAACTTTTCAACCCCACTGGAGTAACAGGCTTCTCTATCGCTCAGCCAACAAAGGCGAACGCAACACACCCCTATGAAGGGTAATTGGCTGAGCGATAGCGATGCCTGTTACTCCAGTGGGGTTGAAAAGTTTTTTCTGTCTGTCTGTCTGTGTGTCTGTGTGTCCGCACTACTCCTCCTGAACGGCTCGGCCGATCTCGGTGAGATTTTGCACACTCTTTGGGTATGTCCTTGGCTCGGCACACGCGAAATTTCACTATCCTAGCTCAAATGGTTCAGTTTTTATAGCCAAAAAACACCTAAAAAACGGCGAAAAATCGACTTTTCCGCAGATAGATTACTTCTGTCTTGGAGAAAGGGGCGTCTGGGGGGCGGGGCCCCCTAGCCTCGACAGGTTTAAAAGTGACAAGGGTCAAGATCGTGTTATCTGTAGATAAAACAACTCTATTTAGAATGTAGGGGGGTCTAGGGGCGGAGCCCCCCAGCATTCAACAAGTTAAAAAATAACCAACAATGGCCAAGCCATTGCCTGCCGCAGGCAGGCTAGCGCCGCAGGCCAAGGTAGGTACTTACGCTAGGCGCGGATTGGAGAAACAGGCAGCGAGACATCGCGAAGCCTGTTACGACAAGACGCGGTCTGGCGTAAACCTACCTTGATTGTAATCTACTGCAGCTAGGCCATCTCTGACATGGTATTCAGTGTTTGAAGTTTTGCGTGTAACGTTCCCCAAAATGGGTCCTTACCGATGTTCAATGGGTCTTAGATCACATGAGTATAGCGCCAGTTGGTGCAATGCCCTCCCATTCTCATGCATAGGATATTTTCGGGGCGCATTGCACGCAAGGTCCAACATGTCAATGGCATTGCACGTGTGGAGCGATTTCTCAGTGCATTGTTCCATACGTGCTATATCCAAAGCGTTTAGAATCTCAGTGAACCCATCCCCGACGCGTCTGGACCCACTGATTACGGGTCACAGCCCATTCTGGACGGCTTAGTCTGAATAGGTTTTAGCCCTTTCGTAAGGGTAAGAACCCATTTCCAAACGGGTTTCGCCTCCTATGCGGTCGGACCCAAATGAATTGGGTACATGAAATTATAAAGGTTGGCGCAACAATCTTTTCTTTCGTTATGAGAGGGAAAACAAACTTTGGTTTTATCTTGCAGGCAAAGGAATCTACAAGTTTCTCGCATGATCACGCCAGAACATCTACAGCACTGGTTCCAACCAAATTCGGGCAGTTGTAAAAGTTAAAGTTTTGTTTCGCTTTTATAAAATGTCATGTTTGGCATTGCCACGAAATGAGTGGTATGACTGACATGGGGAAAATGTCATGAGTCGTGGAACGTTGAAGGTTTTACGTTTCCAACGGTATACCTTAATCATTCAGTTTTTACCACGGCCAAGCAGCAAAATGTGTGACTTAGCAGGGATCTTTAACGTTACATTTAACTAACACTGCTCTCATAAAGTAACAAAAAACCATGTTCGCCATAGGTAAAGGGGTATGAAATGTTGCAAGTTTCCAAACAGAAGTTTGAAAAGGTAGAAGAACTTATCCTTTTTAAAAGAAGTACTGCGTTATAGTCCGGACGTTAGCGGCGCATACCGGGACCCACCTTGCAAAATGTGATACCGGAATGCCACTTGGCACAGTTGTTGTACTAACCCTAAGGATCATTTTAAGAGGTGGAGCCCAGGTGGACCCCCCTGCAGAGCGGCAGTAGACGCTTTTGCCTATTTTCCAGGGGCAGCATTGAAAATCATTCGAAATAGACCTTATCTGACTGGCTATGGACCTTATCTGACTGGCTATCAACTTGAGTTTTGGTACAGGACCACTTCTTTGGATGCCCAACGTGATTTTACTCTGGTTGGTAACGTAGCAATGCGTCAAACGGGAATTGCCTACCTCCCAGGAGCAAAATACCGTTTTCGCGAATATTAAGTTCTTGACGTCCATTAATCGGTGCATGCAAACTCCTGGGTAATCGATTGAGTATAAAAACACATTTCATCACTGCATGCGTTTAGAATGTGGACGTGGAAGAGCCCCGAACGCGCATTGAGGGTACAACGCGGCGTGACTTTTCGGTCACGACGGGTTTCGCCATGAATTTTCCCATGAAACGCCTCGTTGTTTCTTATGTCATAGGGTATTTCGTAGAAGAGCTGGGGCGGAAATCTTTGGGATTCTTACTAATGCGTTGAAGGAAAAGCACTATACAACGGCCTGAAGTAATAGGATTTCTACTAATAAGTGTGGCAAAAAACCAATCACGAGTATAGGAAATCAAATTCCTTTACTCGGTTCGGATTTTTACTACACCGCATTGGCAATAGAACGAAAAGCATAGGAATTTTCCAAATCACGTATAGGATTTTCATTTCCCATACCGAATTTGGTACTTTTACCATATGACGGTGTAGTAGAAATGCCATTATTTTTTAGAGTTTATGTATCGGGCGGTTGCGTCAAAGTAGTGGCGACAGCAGAGGACCCCCCCCCCCTCCATGAAAAAAGGGGGCGTCGTGCACGAGAGAATTTTTGCGAAAGAGGCTGCCCTCACGTCAAGTAGCCCACATACGGCAGCACCCGTAGATATTCCTATCGTATATATCTGCATGTAAGCTATTGGACTGCGTGTACCAATGTCGTACCCTCAAGGGGTAGTCCACATATTACGTAAGCACCTTGGGGGGGAGGGGGAGGTAGAGCTGAGGCTTACGCTTGATTACAGAGGGGGAAGGGGGGTGACCGTCTTGATTACGTAATCAAATTGTTAGGTCACTCTATGCAATGGTGTTGATCTAAACATATAGGGAAATACTGCAGTATCGCGCAGTAGATACACCGACACCGAACTCACTTTCTCACTCTACAAATCAACGAGTGTACAGGGTATGCTCTAACTGGAGCATGCCTGCAAGCACGCTCTAGCTAACGCATGCCTGCCAAGCATGCACTAACTAGTGCATACATGCCATGTACACGCTAACTGAAGCATACATTTACTGCATAAGGGATAGGGAGTTTTCTGCATCAGGAAGCGTGTACATGGCATGTATGCACTAGTTAGTACATGCTTGGCAGGCATGCGCTAGCTAGAGCGTGCTTGCAGGCATGCTCCAGTTAGAGCATACTATGTACACTCTTCGATTTTTAGAGCATCCTCCCAAAGTCACATTGATGATTATGCGCATTTATCATTCCGCTAAGAAGCTCTTTTGTCAAGACGAAATGGATGTAGGAGGTTTATAAAATGAATGAAAATTCACATTAATGTGAACAATCGTCAATACCGTAAAAGCGGATAAAATGGAAAACTCCTTAAATTCTTCTCAGTGATCGTTTCGAGACAAGGTACACACAAGTTAGGTTGCTAGCAAACGAATTTACTAGGTCACCGCTCGGTACTATCATTGATCATAGGAAATAATTTCAGGGATAGTCGCCCCCACCACTGCATGGTTAAAACGGTTCCTGGCTTTCCCAGGAACTGCCAGGAACTCTCCAGAAAACGACTAAGTCTCACCCATAGGTTGAAATTACTTTTTTTATCACTCGTACCGTGTTTGTGAACATATAGCAATTGGATTTGGATTCCACTCGGTTTTTTTTTTTTTTTTTTTTTTTTTAAATTTTGCGGATTACGTAATCATACGTGAGGGGGGGGGGTCTAACCGTTGATTACGTTTGATTACAAGGGGGAGAAGGAGATCAAAAATCCAAAAATCGTGATTACGTAATATGTAGACGACCCCAAAGGCGCGTTCGGGGCTCTTCCACGTCCACATTCTAAACGCATGCAGTGATGAAATGTGTTTTTACACTTAATCGATTACCCAGGAGTTTGCATGCACCGATTAATGGACGTCAAGAACTTAATATTCGCGAAAACGGTATTTTGCTTCTGGGAGGTTGGCAATTCCCGTTTGACGCATAGCTACGTCACCAATCAGAGTAAAATCACGTTGAGCATCCAAAGAAGTGGTCCTGTACCAAAACTCAAGTTGATAGCCAGTCAGATAAGGTCTATAGCCAGTCAGATAAAGGTCTATTTCGAATGATTTTCAATTCTGCCCCAGGAAAATAGGCAAACGCGTGTACCGCCGCTCTGCAGGGGGGTCCACCTGGGCTCCACCTCTTAAAATGATCCTTGGGGATAGTACAACAACTGTGCAAAGTGGCATTCCGGTATCACATTTTGCAAGGTGGGTTCCACTAACCTCCGGACTATTACGGGTTACAACTTAAACCCTTATGATAACGTTATGATGCCCTTCCGAGGTCAATTAAGGATCCCTGCTATAGAGTGCAATGCCAGAAATCGGAACGTTGGCGGTAGTTGTTTCATAAACGAATCTCCTTGGTCGAAAAATGGTTAAATGTACTTTACCGCAAATGCACTTTGTGCAGCCCTGTGTCGGAGCAGATTAACGGGCAGGCACATGCAAAGGAAGGCCCGAGCAAAGAGTCGCATAGTGTGTGCGTGAGTGCTCGACCGGAAAACACTGTCTGTTTACGTCGCTAGCGCTCTCTTGATGGGATCCCGAGCTGGTTGCGTGTCCACGCCGGCCTACCGCTTTGCAGCTTTGCTCGCGGAAACCAATGATGGAAAAAACTTTGATACGCTGCAACGCGTTGCATGGCGTTCTGCGGCTAGGAAGCCTAATGACCCCACAGAAAAATAGATGACGTGAAAAAACAAGAAAACGAGCGATACTCAGTACAAACCGGCAACTCCAGTCGGACTCGACATTTCGCGACTATTGGAAAGATTTGTCGGGCAGATAGATGCGGACTGTAAATCTGCGAAAATGTGATCCACCTGAGGAGACCAAAGATGGTAAATACTGTTCTTGACAACGCTAGATATATATACTCGCCTGTACACAAATGGAAGGGTTTGGTGCCGAGTTGTCGGCATCTTCTAACCAAGGGAAGCCCGCCCGCAGGACTTCTTTGCAGGTTGCATGCACCTTGGCCTATTCAAGCAGAAATATCGAATGATAAAATCAAGCTGACTTCTTTGAGTGTCGTATCCTGTCTTAAAAGCAGGAGGAAAAGTTCAATTAAACAAGAAATATGGAGCTAAAGATTACACTCCGTTGCAGGTGTGGGGTTGCTGCAAATTGAACAGCAATCCATTGACAGTTTGGACACTCCAGCAATGGCAACCCGTTCCCCATCATCATTGTAGTCTGTGGTCACTGTGATGTGGGGAGACCGCTTTTCATAAGTATCATCAAGGACTCCTGAGACTTCATCAGCAAGGACTGCCTAGAGAAAGGAAAATTTTAACACTGAAACAGCCACATGATGCAAAGCTGCCAATGAGATAAACTTACTTCAATCACAGAAATGAGAGGTTTCACTTTCCCATTCTTGAATTTTGTGGGTGTCAACTTTTCTTCTGGCAGGTTTCCCTAAGGGGTTCAGCAACTAATGTCATTAGGAGCAGCAGACTAACAAAAACAAACAAAAAAACTGCTTAGTCGGTTTCCAGCTCCATTTTAATTTCAGTTGTATATTTTAAGTTTTACTTACCCGACTTGTAGCCCGAGGTGTTCTTGATTGTTGTTTTGAAGCTGTCATAGGCTTGAAAGCTGGAGGAGGAACATCTGCATTTAAAATACATAGATGATTTCTCTATGTTGATAAAGTTAAAGAAATAAATGTCGCGTCTCTTTTCTTACCCAGTCTTATTAGTAAGTTGTGCTGTTCAAGACGGGCTGATTCATTTTGTTGCTCTGCAGGGTCTATGGCATCCCATAGCTATTGAGTGTAATATTTTGCCAATTTTAAATCAAATGGCACAGGATTACTATGTCTAGTTGGGTACTGCAAAACAGAAAATAGCTTTGATTGCAAGCAAACTAAATGTGAAACTATGTACTTGTATTGTAAAAGAAAAGTAAACAAAGCCAAATGAATTTACATCAGTATATTTTGGTTGAAGTCTGTAGTCCACTACAGTGTCTTTGACCCCTTCATCGTTTTGATTGGCCTGGGAAGACAAGAAATGAATTCTCATTAAGGGGTGAACCATGTCCAATGCGAATGTTAGGGCATTGGGGATAAACATACCAGATTTCTTTCAATCCATTTGAGATAAATGAAAAATTCCGTATGAAATTGGAGCTTAGAAGTTCAAATTCTTGATCCTTAAGTGGGGTCCCTTTCACCTCTGACCTTTTTCAACTAAAGCATGGTTCATGAGTCTTCAAACGATTTCTCAACGAAGCACCATCTGTACGCACACTCCGGCATTGAACTTTCAAAGCACCGAGGTCACCTTCTTGAAGTTTTAGATGGAAATTACGTCCATCAACGGATAACAACACAATTACTTCTGCCATTTTTGAACAGGTAACGGCTCCGCGCTCGCAGTAGCCCGCTCTGCTTGCGCGTGATTGCTGCCATCATACAATGTTATAACGATGGAGGTTTGTTTTCTATAAGCTATTGCATTTGAAAGTGATGTATTTTGTTTGGCGCTATTTACGTTTTATTTGGCAATTTTTTTATAATCGACTGTTTTTAAGTCATTCATCAAGGGTTATTTTCTGCCAACACAATTAGAGATACTTTATGTTGATGTGTTGTGCGTACAACTTCCTCTTCCTATTTCACGTCCTACACACACGCTAGGACAAGCTGCACACACCTCAGATTCATGTTTCGGACGGTTTGCCCAGTTTGCCTGCCGGTCATATTGCTGTTGTCACACTTTTAGTTTTCTTGTCCCGATAACCCGTTGGCCCGTGTTCCAGGGGCCTTTAAAACGCCATTGGACGGTGGGTTTTATCAGAACCATCCACTTGTGAAGAAAGACCCTTTGACCCTTGAAGTGGGCATCTGTGCAGACGGTGCTGATGTTGTAGTCTGGATTTAATCTAGTTCTATTTAACTGGATTTAAGTGATGTTGTGCGATATGAGTGCAGGAGCAAAGAAACGACACGAACAGGGTTGAGTCTGGGCAGGAAGTGAAGTATTTATTCTTTTTTCTACTGGAGTTGGAGAACATGACACTTGCAGTATGATAATTACAATTAGCTAATGAAGCTAATTACAGAGTATGAGAGATATGTACAGCTGGAGTTTTTGAGTACAGTATAAATATACAACAAATATGAAATGAGACGATTAAAGTATTTACAACCTTCCTCTTAACCCAGGTACCTTCACTCTCCGACACTCCACGGACATTTTTTTCAGTAATCCTACAGTTTAATTATTTTTTCTGCAATTGTAGTCCTTTTGATTGTAAGTACAGAAAAAATAATCAGCAACCTTACAGAAAAGTGGTCTGTTGATAATATTTTCTGCAACTACAGTTATGATCAAGCAGAAAAAAATTACTGTTCCATCCTAGTAAAAATGATCTATAAATGTAGGCAAAATGTTCTCTACATACAGATAAGGGAGGGTGGGGCACCTAGTGACACTTTTTGGATTTTGGCACTCACTTCGATACTGTGCGAGAAATGAATCTACTTACACCTCAGAAGGTTGCTTTGATCCTTCCTTGATCGAAAAAATATGTTGTGGCGTTTTGACAACACCTATTTCTATTATTTACATAGCTTCCCGCAGACCTCTGCACTTGTCACTTGGTGCCCCAGCCCGGGGCACCTAGTGACAGGTCATATAACTCACATTACCAGCATAGAGCGACGCTCCAGCTAATTGAAAACTATCCGTTTTGGACTCTTTAAGCTTTTTAAATATCAAACCATTCTGAACGGCGCCATTTTCCCCAAGAAACTGCATTTTACTAAATTGCCAATCAAATTCAATGTTCTACGAAATTGTCGTTAAAAGTAGTCTCATTTATGTTTCGTTGTGTGACAATCGGTGACAATTTACTTCGCGGTTGCCAAATCGATGTTTTGAAACGTTTAAATCGTTGAAATACGGTAAATAGAGTGTGTCTGTCACTACCTGCCCCGGGGGCTCATTTTCGTTCAAAATTTGATATTAAGGAAATGAAATCACATGTTTGAGCTGGTTCAGCGAAAACAACTTACTAAAGGTCCTTATTATTGATTAAAAGTGCCAGAACGATCGGCAGTGCCGTTTACTGGAAGAATGGCGAGAAAACATTTTGTTAAAAAGTCGTAAAATCTGTGACTTTGGGTTATTATTTTCTTGCTTTTATTCTAGGGGCTAAAATATTTTGTTCAAAGTATAACTTTCACTTGAACATGATTCCACAGCACAAGACCTTTAGATTAGCCACCTCAAGGTGTCTGAAAATGCCATAGGGTGGCCAGGGCACCCCTGTGTCACTAGGTGCCCCTGTCACTAGGTGCCCCACACTCCCTTAATATATACAAGAATTAACAGAAAAGATTTTAAAGAGTCAGAATAACTTTTTGGATGTTTCCGCTAAAAGTCACAATTCAACCATCTCTTAAAAGCCGCTTACATTGAGTCCTTTCTTGACTTGTCGAAGCTAAGAATGTTTTGTAGGATCATTTTGACTAAGCGCATTACCTTCCAATCAGCTTTGTTTGAACGGAGAAAAATTTCTCTGAAAATATTTACTGAAGATCACAAAGTAGTCATCGACAAATTGTTTATGAGCACAAACTTTATCTTCTACATTTGCAGAAATTAAATTCTTTAATTATAAACAAATTTGTCATCATATTTCTACTGATATTGTAAATTTTCTGTAAGTAAGTAAAAGATTGTCTATAATTACCAAATTTGTTACCGCTAATTTATCTTTATCTCATGTAAAATTTATTCGATATGTTAATAAAAATATTTACTATATCATAGTAACGCTCTAAAATCAGTAAGCCGTAGAGTAAATTTTCTACAACATAGAAAAAATAATCAGTGAAGGTCTGAGAGTGTTGAAACAAAATAAAATTGGGTGACAAACTATCTTATTAAGACATCTTCAGGAAGTTACAACCCTTGCCATGACCATCCTCCTTTTAGAGCCTTTGTTAGTACATCAGCTGGCAAAATTTATGTCGGCATGCACTCAATGTCAACAATTCCGTCCTGAAAAATTGCATCCTGCATCCAAAATATCTTGTCCTAGCTGCAAAATTATGTCCTTGTCACTTTAGTGATGGCACCCTGGTTATTATTGCACATTTTTCTGATTTGCAGGCCACAATTCAAGACAGCATTTACCAGGTCATTTAGAAACACAGACCCTTTCCCAGCCTCGGTCATGGCTATGTATTCCGACTCCATTGAACTCTTCAAGAGCAAAATCAACTAAGACGGACCACTTCTTCCGGTGACCCTCTCCGATTTGCCTGATTTTTTGTAGGCTTAATAACTCACTAAAGGAGAGTCTAAAGCCAAAATGTTAGGTCCCGCGAAAATTTATTACCCGAGATATGGCCAACTTTTGTTTAACTTTTGGAGAAAAAACACGAATTTGGGTATTTTGGACTAATTTTACACTTTTCATAGTAGAGGGCTAAAATTTGGTTGCTTTATGTAAAATTGGCCAAGGAACAAGAATATGACCTCAGATTTGACCTCCGACGAATACCTGAAGAGTAAACCCCCCAAAACATCCTAAAAACACATTAAAAAACAGTTTTTTCTTGGGGTTTCTGGGAAAAATATGTGGACAATAATTTCTGATGATCTTATCTTGTAGAAAATGACGCGATGAATCGAATGAGACCACGCGCAGATTTTTATGTCAAACCGTTTAGGAGATATAGCGGTTCAAAATATGAAAATTTTGCCATTTATTTGTTAAAAAATGCAGGTTTTGAGCATTGTTTGACGTTTTTGCCTCCTTGGTGCGTGTAGGTGTTCTTATCTTGTGGAAAAAGACGCGCTGAATCGAATGAGACCACGCATAGAGTTGTATCTCAAACCGTTTAGGAGATATAGTGGCTTAAAGTATGGGCTCGGAAGAGCTCCTGCAAACACCCGACAAGGCAGAGCCGCCAAACACGCCTGTTGGGCGGGCGGACTACAGTGCCCACTTTGAACCGCTATATCTCATAAACGGTTTGAGATACAGGTCTGTGCGTGGTTTCATTCGATTCAGCGCGTCTTTTTCCACAAGATAAGAACACCCAAACGCACCAAGGAGGCAAAAAACGTCAAACTAAGCTCAAAACCTGCATTTTTTAACAAATAAATGGCAAAATTTTCATACTTTGAACCGCTATATCTCCTAAACGGTTTGACATAAAAATCTGCGCGTGGTCTCATTCGATTCATCGCGTCATTTTCTGCAAGATAAGTCACCGTTGACAATCGGTGCTTTGGGCAAATTGCTCGCTTCAGAAGAGTGGAAGCACTTAACCACCACTATGGATAAAAAAGATTCTATCCTGGCTGCTGTTGGAGGATCTTTTAAAGATAAAACCCAGTTTATGATTTTGTCTAGTAGAAGATTAATTAAGTACATGAAGGAAGTAAAGGAAATTTTCAGTGATGGTACATTTTGTACTCCTGCTAAATTGGCAGTGAGTCAGATCTGGAATCTGGTCACTGAAAGGAGAAATCATGTAAGAAAATCATGTCACCCCTAATTGTGATCGTAATTGTCCATACCCATTGTTAATTCATTCTTCTTTGAATTCTGTGCCCCTTTTAGACATTATGCCTAGCCAGAGTTTTGATGCAGTCGAGAAAGACAAAATGCTATACTGGAGTACTGAAAGCTCTGAAGAGACTTACCAAAAGGAAATTTAGGCCGTCAACAGTGATGGCAGATTTCGAAAAATCTCAACAAAAAGGGTGGGCTAAGATCTTCCCAGCTGCTAGGAGAAGAGGTTGCCACTTCCATTATAACAAGGTATTTTGTGTCTTCCTTCTCGCATGGTGAGGTGTGGGTAAATATATGACCAAGAACATCTAAGAAGCTAAAATTTGATCTCTTTGGTATCTGTTGATTGATATCTCTCAGTTGGCTTGAGGTTTTTTCTTTCTTAATTCATACATAACTCTCTGTTGCATTGTTACCGATTAATGTTCCTCCACAGTGTTTTCCATTCCAAAACCTTCCGGCTCAATCACTTCCATTTTATTTCTCCCAAATATCATGGACATGTTCTCTTTTGAATGAAAATAGAAACTTACAAACAGTGCTAAAAGAAGCCCCAATCCAAATTTTAGACTTCTCCGTCAAAATTCATTGCGCTGGAAGGTTTTGTACAGTGCAACAGTGAAAAAAGTCCACTGAGGCTGAAAGGGCAAATGAATTTTAACAAAATTTGATGTGCATAATTGCTTTGTGAAGTCAATTTAAATATGGAAAAGACTGGGGCAATTAGTTGAGGATTTTTCATTTTCACCCACACCTCACCTTTAATGTTGAATGTGCACCACTGATAATGGAGCAGTCCTCATGTTAATTTTTACTGTAATTCCAGAATATTGTCAAGAGGGCTAAGAAGACACGCCTAACAAAGCTGGTGAAGGCAAGCAAGGAGGCAAATTTGCTTGTTGGATGTCTCTGTGCTCTCCCCTTGCTCCCTGAGGATTTAATTTGTAAGGGCTATGTATATGTGGTCAAAAGGGCCGCCAAGAAAGGTCATTTTGACAAGCTTGGGCCTCTCCTGAAATATGTGCTAACCAGCTGGATGCAAGGCCCGAACTCAGACGTTCTATCTGTGTATCGGTGTGATAATAGGACCTCAAATGTGTGCGAATCTGATAATGCAAGTCTGGCAGCACTATTGAAAATTAAGCACCCAGCTGTATGGGCTCTACTTGGCAAGTCTTTTTTGTTCTGTTATTTTTTGTGATTATCTTTGAATGGCCAGTGCACTTATCCTACATGTTTGCCCAACAGGTGCCTTTCTAGAGAGTGAGGATGCTACCCATCAGGACATTCTGACCCTGGACAGAGGTTTAAACCCTTCAGGGCTAAGGAGGTCTTCTGCCCTGGCTAACGATGAATGTCTCAAAGGACTTTGGGATGACTTGGACAGGGGCACAATATCTGTTGGAAAGTTTCTACGGCAAGCTTCAAAAACAGTGCGAGGTGTAGTGCATAAGGAATTCTTTAAAAAGAAGGCAAATGAAGAGAATTGAGGCCTGGTTGAGGCAGAAATCTGCTTGCTCAGTACAAGAAAATATCTTACTGGAGTCATCTCTTTTAGATTTTAACTGGATTAAAGATATCTGTGATATCCTGTGTTGCTATGTAATGAGAATTTCATTTCAACCTTTATGCATACATGTCAAATGCATTGTGAAACCTATTTTTATGTCAATCCACACTTAATAAAAGATGCACATCTAATTTTGAAACAGATCTGTCTTTAAGAGTAGCCTACTCCCAATAGTTTGTGAGTAGCGAGGGTTTATGTAACATTTGCCACTCTTTTGCAATGAGTCCTCTGAATACTAAAACGATTTTTCACCCTTCAGCCCCTTGTAAATTTTTCTTCGAGAACTTCAAAATTGGATCGCTGCTTTTTGCAATGTCCCTTGTAGATTGGAAACAAAGAAAATAGTACCTACTTGTTAGCTGGGCATTCCACCTATGGGCGATAAGAAGAAGGAAGGAAGGGGAGGGCTTCGAAGGCAGAGCTCAGCGCCGCCTGTACTGCGTGGTGGCCACCCTTGGAACTACGGGAGAGCAGACGACGCCGCCGACTGAAGATAGCTACGAACGTTTAGTATATGGTAAAACACGCAATTTATGGTTAAATTTCGTGCTCTGGCTCCACTTGAACCCGTGGGACGCTGACGCTAGGCTGTTTTAAGAGTTCTGAGTTCTAAAGGCCCTTTAGAACTCTAGGCTGTGGGCCTTTAGGACTGGCTGTGTAATTCCGGCCGCCGAAATTCTCATCCCACGTCATCCCACGCCCCACGCCGCGTCCCGCGTCTTTACACAAGTACGTCGTTCATTCCCGCTGGTCTTGTCTACTCATGAAACTAGAGCTATTTTAAACAGTTCAGTCTCGTGCTTTCCTGCTGCAGGTCAGGTTAGTGGGATTTCTTTTCTATGTATTAAAAGTCACATAATTTGAGTGTGCAATGGGACCCCTTTGAGTTCCACTTAGTAGAAATTGCTCCTAATGAGGCATGTCTCGAGCCAGTCTTTCCTTTAGTAAGCAAGGTATTCATGAACCTATTCTGTATTTATTTCCATTGAATTTTGGCTGAGTCGTGTGTCGCGATATCCTTCGAGGAGTACTTGTTCAATCGGAATGCTAGTTCGCGGCTCGGGAACACCTTAACCCCCAAATTGATTCCCTTCAATGTGTTTTGTGTATTTTCAGTCATGGTGCGCAAAGGGCGAAAACGTGCACAGCAAGCCCCACCCTCTCACTATCACCCTCACCCACATTATCCACATCACCCCCAACCACCTCACCCACCTCACCCCCAACCACCTCACCCACCTCACCCATATGCAGCGTTCAACTACCCATATCCACTTCACCCTGTACAGCATCCATACCCATACCCTTACCCTGTGATCCCCCCTTACCCTGTTAACCACCCCTATCCTATGAACCCCCCTTACCCTGAAGGTCAACCTTACCCTGAAGAGCACCCTTACCCTGAAGAGCACCCTTACCCTGAAGAGCACCCTTACCCTGAAGACCAACTTAACCCTGAGGAAACGTACTCTCATCAGCCCCTGCCCGTTGATGATGGTGCTAAGGAGTGTGCTAATTTCGCTGCAGCTTTACCAGTGGAGGAGAAAGCACATGAAGAAGAGGAACCAGCGGTTCCTGGACCAATTGCTAAAAGCATCGGACCATTATCTAATTCCAAAGCTTCAGAAGATACAAGCGAAGCGGGTCCTGCAACTGCTGGTGTTCACAGCGAAGAAGTTGCAGAAGGTGTGTTTCACCATCTGTTTCAAATCATTTGCGCACCTCTTTAGCTGGTTTCCTGTTCTCTCTGCATCTTTCATTTCATCATAATTTCTTGCTACTTAAAATGACCGCGACAATTTTTTTAAATGCATATCTCAAAACAGATTTTTATTTATTTTTTTTTGTAAAGAAAAGAAAAATTGTTTAGCCAAACTGAATTGCTTTGTTTCTAATTTCACAGGTGCAAGGAAAAAGAAAGATAAAAAAAAAAGAAAGAAGAGCAAGAGGAATAAGAAAAAGAGCAAGCGTAAGAAGAGCAAAAAAAGCAGCAAAAAGAGGAGGAAGAGGGCAGCTTCAACATCAAGCTCATCCTCATCAGGCAGCTCCAGCACCAGCACCGGCAGCAGTGGTAGCAGCACCAGCACCTCCTCTTCTGCCAGCAATAACGACAGTGGCTCTAGTAGTGATGCACCAAGCGACTTCGAGCTAGTTGGCTGGGTTAGTACTCTTTAGTTCTAGTAAACACCTCCATTTAAAATTGAATTTTGGACAACGTAAGATATGCAGTAAAAAATTCACCTTTGTTGTGATTGTTCCATGTTTTACTCTCATTGCTAAACAGGGAAAACAGACAAAACCAAAGAGTAAAGAAGCCAAAAAGGACAAGGAAACAGTTGAGGATGAAGATGTGGATGAAGATGAGGACGATCCGAAGCCAACAAAATGCAAGGTAGGAAAGAAGAAGAATGGTTATCTCTACGTTCCATAAATTCAGTGATAGAAACATTAGAATGTTCTGAAGAAGCTCTCCCTTGTCTCTTAATTTTCTTCCTTTCCTGTGATTGTGACGTCACATACTTCAAACTAGTTGGCTGGGATCTGAAATAGCTAATGATCAACATCTTAAAAACTAATTGATTGATTATTCTGGAAACTGTAAGCTATTCAGATGAACCTGTGCCTTTGTGTCTCTCTCTCTCTCCCTATCATATTAACTATTTCTACCTGTGTTTGTTCACATGTTCCACCACTATCCACCAACAGAAAGCAAAACCAGACGCCAAAGCCAAAAAACAAGTGACAAAGAAAGAGAAGAAAGAAGAGGCTGAAGAATACATTAATGGCGACCTAGAAGGAAAGTGTAAGGTAAGAGAAACCATTAAGAGTTGTATTATATACTGTACCTAAACTTTCATGAAACTCAAGCAGGAAACATGAGGATGATTAGTATCCTATATTGCTCTTCTTTTTTCTTATCTGTAACTGTTCATACATTCTACATTCATCCTTTTACAGGAAGAAAAGTCAGAAGAAAAGAAACCAATAAGAACTAGAAAAGGAAATTGTTCAAAGAAAAAAAGTGAAGACAACCATGAGGACGACAATGATGCTGATATTCCTGAAAAGCAACCGGCCAAGACAAAAGTGGCCATAAATGATTTAATTGTAAGTACCACTATAATGTCAACACTTGAAACTTCAGTTGCAGACATAGTTCTTTATACCCATTGTTGTTGCAGCTGAATGCAAAAAAAATTCATGAAACCAGACGAGGAAGGGGAAGAGGAGGGAGGGGACGGTAATTGCATGATGTCATTCCGCGATGCCACACGGGTATTACTAGTCCTTTTTTTTCACATTCTGAAATCTTTGTGCTGTTCTGTGACTAAGTGTGTTTCTTTTTTCTTTAAAGCATTCTGTGAACAGACATTAGTGTTCTTCCTGAAATAAGTTCTAACTATGGTACTTAAAAACGATAAGATGGTATTCAAAACCTCCACAAACATCTTGAACTTCTGTATTTCTTTTATTTTGTTACATTGGGTTACATCCAGTTTGCACTAATGATATGAGGTACCTCATATCATTCTCTAGTTTGCACTATAGTCTCTTAAGGTTTGTTGAAGCCTCTTGTGTTTATTTGGAATTGAGTATTATGAGAATCGGTATTACGTTTCAGTGTTGTTAAACAGTGAGACATAATAATTTGATTGCCGATACATTTTGACTTTAAATCATTTTGTGAACAGACTTAGTGTATTGAGGTTTGCATGAAGTGAAGATGGAGCTTTGTACTAACACTTCACCCTTCTACAAAGATCTTTTCCTTTTGTATTAATTTTTTTTTTGTTCAGGACGTAGCCTCTTACGCTTTGTGTAAGCCTCTTTTGGATATTTGAAATTGAGTATTATGATTATTATGTTTTTGTATTGTTTAATTTTATTATTGTTTTGGAAATGGTGATACATGTCAAGTTTGTCATTTGTACTCTCAATTGTTGCAACATCATGATTCATCAAAAAATACTGACTACTGTGTCTGCTTCTGAGACAAGTTTTATAAATGACTTTCAATGTAATTGCTATTTTGATTCTTCACATTGTTCAACGCACTAAGCACACCAGTAGACTCATCTCTTCCGCCTGGCCTCCCCCCTCTATGCCGGAGGCAAACCCAGACGGGTAAACTTATCCTTACTAGGACAGTGAATTCAAGAAGGTTGCTGGAAAGGACACACGATATACCACCAAAAGAATCAGGTTGAGATTTTTTAAATTTATTTCTCAGGATATAATGATGTTTTACATTAGTCACAATGGTTACCTCAGACATTTAAAAAGAAGCACTAGATCACTTTGATTACAAACAACATAATATGATTTAAATTCTTTTGAAACATGAAAATACGAAGTAAGATCTCTGAAAAAGAAACGTTCATGCGGAGTTGCATTAGATAATACTGACGTCAGATATCAATCGCAACGATGCTGGTTGGTAATGACAGGAAATTGAACACAATCAGGCCATCGTGCAAACAGTGATAAACAATAATTTTGTGGACGCAGTGTTCAATTACATTGATCAGAGAGTGGGAATGAGGCAATAAATAAATGGGAGCAGACCCGCACCTCTGAATTTTCTTTGCGAGACTGCTTGACAAATGGTTCCAGTCTCAGCACAGGATTGCGAGGCAGAAAGACTGCTGACTTGTTGAAGCTGCAGCCTGGTGACTACTTACATCAGCAGTGAGAAGGAACAAGGAGACTTAGAAAGCAAACAGAGATTACTTGACATCACGAATCTGGTGACATTGTAATAAGTCATAAAATGAGGGGGAAATGTGAAGAACACAAGAGTGGTGAGGTCTGAAGTGTTAATAATTTAAAAAGGTAGGACGTTTCAAAGTCTCCAGCGTTGTAGGGTTGTCTGCTAGGCCTCGGTGGAGACGAAATCCAAACATCAACAAACCACCACCACCACCACCCCTTCCCCAACCCCTTCAGTTTCCGAGGGAACTCGCGTCCGTTGTCGAGTGTCCGCGGAAACTCGGGAGTGTCCGGAGGAACTGAGACTACAGCAACTTTCTTGTCTCCACGCGATGAAAATCCCAGTATTTGGTTTTCCCGATTTCAACCTATATTCCTAATTCGTTTCGGTTATCCATAGTACTAACGTTGAGAGTCTTGAAGGCAAGGGCGCCTAGCCCCTCGGTCCCAGTTCAGAAATTCCCGCGCGACGCTCTCGATAGCATCGATTTGGTATCGATGTAAGCGGCGTCCGCACTTGCTTCATGGTAGAGAGCAGTGCTAGTGCCAATCCCGGGGACATGTTTTCGGCTCGAGACCATTAGTTTTATTATTTCATTAATTTACGTCTATTTGGTATTGGACTCCGAATGCTGGTGCTGGTGCTGAGCTGCCGAGGAAAGGCAGGCGCGCCGCGCGCCCCTAGCGGCGACCGTTGAACTACGTCCGAGGCAGCCAGCCAGCCAGCCAGCCAGCCAGCCAGCCAGCCGGTGCAAGAACAAGAACAGTTATTGTTTACGGATAGCGAATTATATTCTGTATTTACCGTTACTAAGGTGAATCGAGCTGATTGTTCTTCATATTACTATCCGAGTTTTTTATGAGGCGCGTGTGTGCATTGGGAAGGTTTGTGAAGAAAGTGTTGGTCAGTGCCATAAAGTTTGAATCGCAAGAGACGGCCGTTGTTCACTATTGAAGTTTTTGGCATTTACGGAGCACGGCGCCAATCAGGATTCGTTCTCATCATGACAACGGGGATGTGCGTTTTAAGTGAGTAAGCAAACCGCTGGAAATCAGGTCGAAGTTCGACGACCGGCTGCAACGGTTTTTCTTATCGGTTCATAACCTTCAAAGACCCGTTGCCATCACTTAAACTAAACATTTGCCCAATCGAATCGAACTGAGATTATGATTGTTCTTTGTTAATTTAATTGTGTAACTGAGGATTCTCTTCTTTTCAAGTTGCTGATGGTGCATTTCTTCTTGAGAGTTTGTGGCCCTCTACAGTCCAGACTGTGTGCAACTGCTTCTAGCCTAGCGAGCAACAGGTCAAGGATTCTTTTTATGCAGAGGCCTAGGTGTCGTTGTGATGTGAGTGTTTTGATCTTTGAACTGACTCCTGTTTTCTGGTTTCAAATTATATTCCCTTTACATCTCATTGCAGGTCGTTCTTACTGGAATGCAACTGTTCAGATTGGGCCGCTGGTTTCCACCTCGAGACTATATCATTATTTAATTGGAGATAAAACTATTTTGTCAGACTGATCGGAATTCTGCGGACTGTGTAGACTTGTGTGATGGTTTGCTCGCTGAGGTAAGCAGACTTATCACTTTATGTATTGAAGTTTTTATTGAAGTTTATGTTTGAAGTGCATTTGCTCATGAATTTTATGTGCTGCACAGGTAATCAGCTCGCTTTCACAATGCCCTGGTGTCCTCAGTCTTGAGATACTTAGAGATCAGACCAACGAGTAAGGTTAGCGGGATTTTAGGAGCCGCCTGGTCTCCATTCGATGGATGGGGGCTGTTTCAAAATCAGTAACTTGTATGCATCTCTCATTTGCGGATAATTTTTTTTTACCCTTCAAAATTTGTATGCTTTCTTTACCGTCATCTAATGGTGTTCAATTTTTTTAAAAAAATTTTCAGATGACATTATGAGGAGGGAGAGAGCGTGTCCAGAGATTACCAGACAAAGAGAAGGAGACTTACATGAGAACTTCAGGGTGCAGCTGCTGCTGCTGCGAAACTAATTTGCTTTGAGATCATCACAAGATAGTTGAGTCTGCCTCCGTGAAGGTTTAGGTAAGCATACAAAGTTAGTTTTCGACTTGAAAAACTTGAATCTGATGCTGACTGTCCAACACATTTTTTGTGTTGTAGTTTGAAAGTGCAATGCTCATTTCTGTTTCAGAGCTATGCTCTTTCATGTGACTAGACTGCATTCATCCCATTGGATCTTCACTAATGGCCTCAGTTCTACTCTCCATCAGTCAGTGCTGAGCAATGATCATATCGAGTTGTGTAGTAGGGTAGGTCAACTGAGTCAATTTGGATTCAGGTGAAGGGAAGTGGGCATATCTTGGGAAAGGAGTCACCGTCACCAATAGAGCTTGTTCCATTTGCTACATGAAGTATTGGGAGGCTATAGTTTCAATTAAAAAGAGGCTGCGTTCCCAATGAACGTCTTGGTTTAGATTGAGATATAATGCATTGTACAGCTTAACCTTTTAATCAATCCATGACTTGTGTCCTGCGTTTAATGTGGCGCACCCTTCTTCCCTCCAAATACTTCCTGGTCTGATCCCTCCTCTGCACTTTCCACCAATTGTCTGTCCAATCCAGTGGGCAAGTCTCTTCTTGAGGCTAAGATTGTGACGCGCGATCTGCTGGCCTGGCTCTGCGTCAATGTGTTGCTGCCTTTACTGGGATACAAGTTACGGAGTTGTGTAGCTGAATGCACCAGCATTGATCCTAATCTTTAGTAAAAAAAGTCCTCTCATTGTGATTAGGTAATGAAAAAGCACCCCTCGGTCTCTCCTATTGTTTTGCCCAGGCCACTGATTATCTCTGTATTGTAGAGTTGGCCAGAAACTGTTTTCAGGTGCCAAATTATTTTTATTTTTACTATCATAATTATATCTGAGTGCTTGTCAGACAGCAGTTTAAGTATGACTCTAATATATGTGGAAATTGGGCATGGATACAGCCATGGACTGCCACCGGTGAAAGCCATTGAACTGAGCAGCCCTCTTAGTGAAAGAGAAGTGCATTTGTGATGTTTTCCTCAGCTTTTGGCCCTGCATGTAGGGAAACTGTGTGTTTTCAGGATAATCTTTGTAAATGTTTGTAACCTACTCTACTTTTATTGAGATGATCGACAAATTTCTTTGTAAGCGCTGGCCACAGCAGAAGCAGTGGGGCGCCAACGTAGGATTTGACCCAACTTGGTCACAATCTCATTTAAAGCATTTTATTCAAAGCATTTGTTGAGAACAATAGATGGAGAATTGAATGTTGATCCAGTTTGTGCTTGGGGGAAAGGGAGGCATTTACAGGCAATATTAGTTTTTTTAGCTTTTTTTATTTAACTATAGGATGACTCTCTCTATGTATCATTGAGGTCGACTCACATGCTCCGACTGATTTTCCCACCGAGTAATTGAGATCCTCAGTTTCCTCATCGGGTAGTCAGTGCTGGGCAATGATCATAAAGAGTTGTGTAGCCTGCTAGGTCGCCTGAGTCTAATGAGATTCAAGCGAAGGGAAGTGGGTCTATCTTGGGGGATGATTTTGCCGGAGTGAGAAGCCAATGAGCATTCATGGCCATGCATCTTTCACAGCTTTTGGCACTGCTTGCAGGGAAACTGTGTGATGTTTTCAGGATAATCTTTGTAAATGTTTGTGTCCTGCTCCAATTTTATTAAGATGATCGACAAATTTCTTTGTAAGCGCTGGCCACAGCAGAAGCAGTGGAGTGCCAACGTGGGATTTGATGGGAAACTCAGTCATGGGGCTGGAGTGAGAGCCAATGAGCATTCATGGCCATGCATCTTTCACAGCTTTTGGCACTGCTTGTAGGGAAACTGTGTGATGTTTTCAGGATAATCTTTGTAAATGTTTGTGTCCTGCTCCAATTTTATTAAGATGATCGACAAATTTCTTTGTAAGCGCTGGCCACAGCAGAAGCAGTGGAGTGCCAACGTGGGATTTGATGGGAAACTCAGTCATGGGGCTGGAGTGAGAGCCAATGAGCATTCATGGCCATGCATCTTTCACAGCTTTTGGCACTGCTTGCAGGGAAACTGTGTGATGTTTTCAGGATAATCTTTGTAAATGTTTGTGTCCTGCTCCAATTTTATTAAGATGATCGACAAATTTCTTTGTAAGCGCTGGCCACAGCAGAAGCAGTGGAGTGCCAACGTGGGATTTGATGGGAAACTCAGTCATGGGGCTGGAGTGAGAGCCAATGAGCATTCATGGCCATGCATCTTTCACAGCTTTTGGCACTGCTTGTAGGGAAACTGTGTGATGTTTTCAGGATTATCTTTGTAAATGTTTGTGTCCTGCTCCAATTTTATTAAGATGATCGACAAATTTCTTTGTAAGCGCTGGCCACAGCAGAAGCAGTGGAGTGCCGACGTGGGATTTGACCCAACTTGATCACAATCTCATTTAAGGTGCCGCAGTGAGAAGCAATCAACATTTGATCCAAAGTGGACACACATGCTTGGAGGCTAAAGTTGATACAGGTACCTTACTGGACGGTGTGGTGGTGTTGAGAAAATTTCCATGTGAAAGATAACATTTTCTTTTTCTTTCAGGGCCTTGCTCGTGAGACTGGATTGTGCATTTCCAACTGGATAACTTCTTCACCTCGGCATGACTGTATTTACAACTCCTCTTCTTCGTGCTGGATTTTGGAGGAGGGCAAATCACCAGTATTGTTGGCAAACAGAATGTGATGATATCCTTTTACAGTCAATTAATCCAAGAGGCAATTATCTGGGGTAGTTGGTGCATGGATCAGCTGTCAGGTTACTGTGGGATGGAAGCTCTTGTTTGTCTGAGAGGACTCTGGGTTCACTTTGGTGCTGTTGAAACAGCTCTGTTTTAAAGCATTTGTTGAGAACAATAGATGGAGAATTGAATGTTGATTCAGTTTGTGCTTGAGGGAAAGGGAGGCATTTACAGGCAATGTTAGTTTTTTTACCTTTTTTTATTTAACTATAGGATGACGCTCTCTATGTATCATTGAGGTCGACTCACATGCTCCGACTGATTTTCCCACCGAGTAATTGAGATCCTCAGTTTCCTCATCGGGTAGTCAGTGCTGGGCAATGATCATAAAGAGTTGTGTAGCCTGCTAGGTCGCCTGAGTCTAATGAGATTCAAGCGCAGGGAAGTGGGTCTATCTTGGGGGATGATTTTGCATCTCCAATAGATACACAAATCGTTTTCTAACTTCAATCGCCTGCTTGATTACTGTCTGGTTTTCTCGGCACTTTCTGGTCGCTTATTCAACACCGCTGTGAAGGTGTGCATTTCTTTAGGTTCTGTTTAATATGCCAGTACTCCACTGGGAACATTCTTATCATTTTTATTTACTGTGTCTGTTTCTGCAGAATTTTATCGGGTCATCATTCCGACTGCCCAGTGCCAAGTGAACTTTCCACCGCAGGCCTTCAGAGTGGTTTCTTTAACGCTCTCCTTTTTATGCCTGTGCTCCATGACGCAGCTATCATCTTTGCCACTGATTAGAGGCCTCAGGTATGCAGATTGCTGTTAAGTTTTGTTACATTCTTTGACCTGCCTACACTATAATTATCCTGTTTTCCACAGCCTAACAGGAAGCTTTCCCAATGTAATGCAGTCTGTGAACACCCAATGGGTTGAGATTGGATCGAACGGAGTGGATTTGATAGGAACAGGCCAACATCAGGCTTAAAGTTAGTCTGTGTCTGGGACAGAGGAGGGTAAGTTATTGGACAGTGTTGTGACATTCACGGAGGCATTTTATTCTGGTTTTAAATACAGTGTTCGTTTCTGTCTCAGGGCTCTGCCTCTTTCTGGAACTGGCTCACTGGATTGCATTCTTCCCATTGGGCACCTATGGCCTCATTAAATCTACTACTCTTCATCTTCCCCCTGGACTCAAGGGGCACAACAGGAGCACAACTCACCAGGATTGTTGGCTAGGAAGATGTGATAATAACTATTTACTCTACTCAGTTTTAAAAATAGACTTAAGGAGCTATCTGGTGCCTGTCCCAAATTGTTTGGGACATGTGTGTTGGAAATTTGGATTACAGCAGAGCCAACTTTGGGCAATTTCACATGGCCTACTGAAACTGGCCTAGTTTTTCAGACTGATGTGCATTGTTGACATTTTAATTAGGAAATTGCTGTAGCGAGGTCCTCGGAATAAGACCCCTGCCCCCCCCTCTCCCTCTCTCTCTCTCTCTCTCTCTCTCTCTCTCTCTCTGCCGCCCCAGGTGCGAGCCGTGGCAACGAGCCTTGGCAACCCTAGTGGGTCCTTTACTATAGGCTTATTAATCACTTGCAGTAGTGTGGTCCTCGGAATGGTACCCCTCTGCCACCCCAGGTGCGAGCCGTGGCAACGAGCCTTGGCAACCCTAGTGGGTCCTTTACTATAGGCTTATTAATCACTTGCAGTAGTGTGGTCCTCGGAATGGTACCCCTCTGCCGCCCCAGGTGCGAGCCGTGGCAACGAGCCTTGGCAACCCTAGTGGGTCCTTTACTATAGGCTTATTAATTACTTGCAGTAGTGTGGTCCTCGGAATGGTACCCCTCTGCCACCCCAGGTGCGAGCCGTGGCAACGAGCCTTGGCAACCCTAGTGGGTCCTTTACTATAGGCTTATTAATTACTTGCAGTAGTGTGGTCCTCGGAATAGTACCCCTCTGCCACCCCAGGTGCGAGCTGTGGCAACGAGCCTTGGCAACCCTAGTGGGTCCTTTACTATATACTTATTAATTACTTGCAGTAGTGTGGTCCTCGGAAAGGCACCCCTCTGCCGCCCCTTGCGAGAGCCGCGACCCCGTGTCACGGCCGCTTGAGTGGTTTTGATTTCTTACATTTTAAACAAAGTGTATGCTGACTTCACATATTACCTTTCCTTACTCCTCTTGCCTGTGGGACTGTTTCGATGGGTTCTACATGTGTCTCCTACCATCTCTTGCACCTTAGTGCCGCTGTCTCCTTTCAGCAGATATACATGGTCAATTGCTCTGGTTTAGATGGGAAAGTTCTTATTTCCTTTAACATGTTAGTTAAATTTTTGGAGGGGGAGGGGATTAACTTCTACTGAAATAACTGCTGTCCTGGGCTCTGCTTTGTCATAACTGTGCAGGACGTTAATTTCAATTATCTTTACTCACTTTTTTAAATAATAATTGGGCACGATACTTGCTTCTTGCTTGTAAACGAATTGAATCAAGGGGATGTATTATAAGGAATTTGAAGCTAAATTCGAACTATGATGGCTGAATTTTCTTATCATTATGGGTATGTTTTCTATTTCCTGTTGTCTTTGCTGTACTTTCTTTCCCACAGGCCTTACTCTGGCTTCATCACATTGGATTGTCAGCCCTCCCTTCCGGGTGTTTAGGAATAGATAACTTAACCAAATGAAAGGTGGAATGGAGGACTTCACGATGTCTACTTGGTGGCTTTCCTGTACTCTGGGAAGAATGTGGTGAGTCCACATTATTGTCTCTACACTGCAAAAGTAACTGTCTACTAAGTACACACTTACAAATGCATTCTTGCAAGTACACACTTACAAACACATGCTTGATGCATGGAGTTATACGGCGTCAAGCATGCGTTTGTAACTGTGTGCTTGCAAGCATGCATTTGTAAGTGTGTACTTGGCCAAGCATGCGTTTTTAAGTGTGTACTTGCAAGCATGCATTTATTAGTGTGTACTTGGTAGACAGTTTGGTTTGTAGTGTAATATTCTGATTTATTGTGGTTTTTGTGGTTTTCACATGTGTGAGGCAGTTGCGTTTTTACTCGGACACTTGTTATGCAATGCACGTTTTTTTGGTTCCAGTGTCAGCGTTCCAAGAGTCCAATGGATGATACTTTTCTTAAACCCAGATAGGTCCATATATGTCAGTTGAACTAAACTCAGCTACCTTCAAGATGACTTGCAGACGCCATTTTAACTTCTGCTAAGTGAGTCATGAATGAAGTGACACTTCATGAGCAGTTCATCAATTGTTCATGTTCTTAATTATTACAATTACACCTTTTTTTTTGTAGGTCTGTGTACGGATGTCTTGCATCATCACTGAACAATATCTCCCGGATGCCCTACAGATCTAGCAGGATGCCACAAAGCAACAGCTCAAGCAAACCTTTTTATTTCATTATTATCTGATCTGTTTCCCAGTACCAAATAATATGTTGCCCACTTACCTACTTCAATCAACTATCTGTAACATTTCTTCCCAGGCTTGTCATGTTACTAAATATTCGTAGCCACGCACCGTTTCTGTTTGAGCTACAATTTTTCTTTAATTCCGTCATAAGATTTATCATAACCTGCTCTTATTTCTGTCTGTGTTATTAATTTGTACTATGTTTCATAAAATAAATGTGCAACTGTGAATTGCATCCATCTACGTTATTTCTAGTCTTCATACTTGGTGAGAGGGGTAGGCCACCCCAGAGAGAATTAGTTGCCTTCAGTCTGGAAAGATATACGAGAAAAGGAATTATAGAACCAGCTGAAGTAACCATTTATTGAACAGTCATGCTAAGATCTGATTATTAACTATTGTAAAACTTTGTTGCATTTTGTGTAGCAAGGATTCGTGTTTTAATTGTCGTTAATATTTTTTAAATCTTATTTACTTGCCACTAATATTTTATGAAACTTATTCAATTTCATGAGACTGCAAACGTATTATACATGAGAAATTTATCATCAATATGAAAACAGCCTTTTCAGCAGTAAGCAGGTTGTCAGAGTTATGAGGCTTCAAACATGGATGAGATACTACCAAGTGTGAAGCAGGGAATATACATATGATCAGAACAGCAGTGGAAGTGAAATATTAGTTTATTCATGCTGACACTAAAAGTAGTCCATTAGAGCAACCACAACAAAAAAAACTGACCCTATGAAACAATGTGACAGAATGCAAAAATGATATTTCAGCCTGTGGTCTGCTTCCCCATTGAACAGAAGAACTGCAGAGGATGAATTGGACAAAAACGATTGGTGAAATCCAAAAAATTATGAAACAGTCATAAAAGGGGGAATTTAAAGACATGTATCTTTCGGGGAAAATTAAGAATATCGTATGAAAAAGAAACATGAATCAAAGGGTGGTTTATTTCTAGTTCTCATGTCATCTTTATCAATAAATAATAATTAAAGATGAAATAGACGAAACAGCCTGTAAGAGCCGGAGGACGCGCTGGAGGCCACGGGCGAGGCGGCGGCCAGCGACATGGGGTCGAACGGCAGGGCGACGGGCCTCCGCAGGCTGCTCTCGGCCTGGTGCGCCACGGCGTGCTGCGCGGCGTGCTGCGCGGCCACATGCTGGGCCACGGCCTGCTGCGCCATGACGCTGGGCGGCCGACGAACCACCGGCCCCAGCGCCGCCACGGGGAGGTCGTTCCACATGACGGTGGCGGCGCCGTCGTTCGCCTTGGCCTGCCCCATGGGGAAGATCTCCAGCATGACGCTGAGCGGCGGCACCGACTTGCCGGCCACGCCGCGTCCGAGGCCGCCGTGTCCGGGCCGAGCGGCTTGAACGTGGCCTCGGTGTACTGCGGGCCGCCCGGCTGCAGGAAGGGGTGGCGGTGCCGCGCGAACCGCCCCGGCGGCACGGGCAGGCCGGGCAGCCCCGGCAGCGCAGGCCGCCCCGCCGGCGCGAACGGCTCACCCACCTCGTCCACGAAGCCGGAGTGCCGCACGGACTCGGAGCTCGCCGACGCGGACACCTCCGAGTCCATGGCCGAGGCCATGTGGTTGATCTCGGTGGGGTCCGAAGGCTTGTAGGGGTGGAAGGGGTCCGCGACGTAGGCGTGACCGTTGTAGTGCGAGTCCGGCCCGGGGCGCTCCATGGACTCGGCCGAGTCCATGAAGGCCATGTCGTTGACGTAGGGCTCGGGGCGCGGGAGCGGGAACGCCTCTGCGCCACGGCCTGCTGCATCTGCTGGCCGCCGTACACGCCGGTCACCTTGGCGGCCTTCTTGAGCGCGGCGCCGCTCCACGCGTACGGCCGCCGGCCCCCCACCACGTAGCCCTTGTTCTTGAGGTAGTTGGCGACGTCCTGCAGGTGCTTGTGCGGGTTGCGGTAGGGCTGCAGCTGCGGGAAGTTGGCCGTCTTGACGATGTCGGGGAAGTTGACGCTGTGCGGGATGACGACGCCCTTGTTGTTGACGACCAGGTACTGGTTCGGGACCTGGCTGACTTGCTGCGGGAAGGCCCAGGGTTTGTTGCCACCGCCCTGGAGGGACACCATCAGCTTCATGAGCTTCTTGGGCACGAAGTGCGTCCACAAAACCTCCCGGGCGCTTTAGGTTGAGCAGCCTAAGCCACTGACATGGAAACGTGGGGAAGATTACCTAACATACGTGAAAGGCCGCTTCCTACGAGTTGCTGGTACTCGCCTCTTGTCTGCACATGGCGCAGCAGAGCGGTCGCTGGACCAGCCACGCTCTGGTGAAGACAGCGTCGGGCTAGAATTGCGACGCCACTATGCGGACCTCCCTTCCGGCGCTAATGTCGATCCTCGAAGACAAGCTGATGGCAGGCAGGCACCAGGGAATGCGTGCGCCTTTGTTCCCTGAAACAGTGCAGAAGGTTCTGTGAGCATCGCGGTAAAGCATCGAGTGCCACCAAGCAGTGCGAAGATGAAACACAACGGTGCGAAACCTCAGAGAGGATGCAAGCGGGAAGGGTGATATAAGCCAGTTTCTCTTTACCAAGAATTCGAACCCTGGACTGCAGAGTAGTGATATTCCACAGACCGCGGTTTTCTGAGAGTAGTCCTCTGAGAGCAGCGGTGTACACCCCTTCCCCGGGCATCCCTCTCAGGCCCGCCGCTAGCAGTGCCCCAACATGCACCCACTGTCGCGGGTGTATCGAGGGTGCATGCCACAAGCAGACCCGAAGAGAGGCTCAACGCCCTATGTACAGCGCCACGTCACCCACATAGCACGAAAAGCAGTGGGAACATCGGATGCAGCTTACCTGGGCTGCTACGCATGGACGGATCGCGTAAGTGGAGGGGGAATGCCGTGGTGCGCGAACCCAAATGCACGTCACATCGGTGCTGAACTCACCTGGACTCCTGTTCTCTCCAACGCACCGCGAGACCCCGAAGCACAAGCAGCCCTCCGGTGCGCAGGGCTGGCCTGCAGTCCGGGGGCTCGAAGGCGGATGCGCGGGGAAAGGAGTACAGTCAACGGCGATATTTCGATATCGTTCAGTGAGACCAAACGATAAAGAAGAACCACACGAGACACAATTCAGAAGCGAGCCCATGGTGGCGGACATATGCAGCTGCAACAGCATTATACCATTGCACTCACCGCACTTACCTGCCACCCGTTCACGCCTTCTCAGAAACCAGGTGATCCACCGACCCGATCCACAGGACAAATCGTTGCTATGCAACCCGCATGCCGGGTCCTGGAACGGTGGATCACCTGGTACACACAACACAATAGACAAGGAGGGCTACAGCAGGGGTCACTGGGGGAAGACCGCGGGCCGCGCCGAGAGAGGGACAAGGAGGCAGCGCAGCGCTGGGTCGCCGCTGCTAAGCGGCTGGGTCGACCACGGCATGTCACACTTTCGCCGTCTCACTCATTTTATCTCCTTTCTCTCTTCTTTCTCTTTCTCTATGCGGACCACAAGCCATGCTCACTCTGAGACCCCTGGCTTGACACGTTTGACAGCAGAGAGACGAGCCAGCCTCCGCCACTGGCCCGACCTGGACTTGTCTCACCTATATTTTCCAATGCGGCCCGAGGGCCGCGTGTCTGACACTTCTGGGCTGCAGTGAAAAACCTGATTTAGCTCGAGACTGCCGCATTTCGCACACATCGTACAATGCTGCTGACCCAAGCGAAGCGGGCTTCGCCGAGGCCATCTCGGGGAAGCGGGGCGCCGATGCTGGATTTCCCTAGTGGCCTTCGTGATAACGCCACCGACATGTTCGTTGCTGCGGGGGCGTGTACGGCATAGTGTCACCACCCTTCACGGTTCCCGTCGAAGAGGTTGTGTGGTTCCTTGACGACGCCATGCCGGTACACGACCTCGGCATAACACTTTGTTATTCAGGGGTCCGGGTCCTACGAGAGTTGGCGTCTTTTGAGGCTTGCCCTAGTTTTTGTAGCGCCTCTGCACGCATCGCCAGGAGGCGCCTAAAGGTGCTTCACTTCGAGACACCTTAGGCTCTGGCATTTCGAGACACCTTTGGTCCAGCACACTGGCCCGCGCTCGCGTTCCCTGACATGGACCCTACAAGATGTTTGCTGTTCATACACCTTCGTGGTTTCATTGCATGGGAAAGACGCGAACGAGGTTCGGGCTCATCGGCACAACTGGCAATCTCCCTTCCGCTTGCTGACCCGCTTAGCGCCTGTCGCCGCGCTCGCAGTTTCCCTCGGAACTTGTAACGCTTAGCGCCTGGATGGTGGGCGGGCAATGTGGCGCACTGCGAAAGGCATGTACTTCGGATTGGGTGGTGGCTTACCTACCTTCTCGGACCACCCGGGGGGGGGGGGGGGGGGGGCTTGGTGTGCAGTTTGATTGGATGGTGGGCGCGTGCATTTGACCGTAATGTCGGCAGTGTCCCCGGACACTTTCGGCGGCACGTCCGTTTGTCGGAGAGTGCATCATGCGGCTGGATGTACATCCCCCCCCTTGCATTTCATTGAAATTTTCCGCTCTGACACCTCAAGCTGCGACAGAATACTTTAAGACAAATGAACGACCCGGCAGCAACTGCGCGTTCCCGCGATCGTCCCCTTGAAGCCATAAAGCCGTGCCGCACGCCGACCAGCACCGCGTGGCCCTGCTCGACGCACTGCTGCGGATCGCTCACTCTGCAAACTCAAGTGTGTGCCAGGCATGCACTTCCTGGTGCATGCCTGGCAGGCACACACTTCTTGGTGCATGCCTCAGGCACACACTTGCCGTCGCACATATGCATGGGCCTGAGGCATGCACCAGGAAGTGTGTGCCTGCCAGGCATGCACCAAGAAGGGGGCATGCACTTTACCAAGAAGTGCATGCCTGGCACACACTTGAGTTTGCAGGCGTTTGAAGGCGTTGACAAGGTTAATTGCAAGACGATCAGCAAATAAAACCACGCGCGTCGCGTGCCGGAGTGCACCCAAGCGCCAGGATGGTAGGCAACCCATCATACCCTACGCCGGCTATACCCCATGCGCAGGGACAGGGTGGGGCGTTATGCGACGTTGCCTCCTTGTGCAGTGGCGGAGAGGAGCGGCGTCCAAATGTCCAAATGGAGGTCAGGAGAAGAGAGTTGCGCTACGTGGGGATGCATTTTCCCCAACCTTCCCCACAGCTCAATGGCCACTCACTCACCGATTAACTTCTCAAGCGAAGGAGAAGGAACTTCGCGACAAACGATTGACCTGCGGTTTTCGCCAATTCGACGCGCTAGGAAGATAATCATTCCAAATAAAGGTGTCAATCAATCCAAACTGGCGCCGTTGGCTTTGTCGCGTCACCCCGATTCCAAAAATACCCCTAAAGGCCCTTTTAGCTGCATCCGTTGACGAAATCCTGCTCGACCCCATGTAGACCATGATGCACCTGCAGCACCGCCCCCCGGGGCACTGATCGGATTTGCTACCTCCGGGCCCGATTCTTATACTCTGACCAGAAAACAAAGAGCCCTCGGTTCTCTCTCGCGGTCGAGGGCTGCCTGCAATGCTAGCCAAGGCGGCAGATACCATGAACGGCGAGAACCCAGGGCACACTTATTTACAGCATACTTGCTAGGCACACACTAAAATAGAGTGTACATTGCATGTACACGCTAAATAAGAGTGTACCTGGCAAGTACTCTTAAACTGGCCCATGCTTTTAGATAGGACTTATCGAGTGTATTTTAGCGTGTACATGGAACACGGTAAAAACGGTACCTGGTTTTCCCAGGAGCCCTATGGCGAAGACATAGGCGATTTCCAGGGGGTTCCTGGAAAAATCAGGAACCGTTTTTACCGTGAAGGTACACACTTATTTGGCGTGTACTTGCCAGGCACACTCTTTTTTGGCGTGTGCCTAGCAAGTATGCTGTAAATAAGAGTGTACTTTGAAGCATGCTCTAATAAGAGTGTACTATGTACACACTTCAGTTTGCAGAGCAGGCAGATCTCCAAGGTACGTACTTGCTTCGTCCTTCGTTGAAATCCTTGTCAAATTTTTCACTTTTAGGGTGATTGCCACCCACTTGAAACTTAAATGGGACACGCGACACGCGCCATGGGGCATCTCCCCATGGGCCGCTCTCGGTCGCTCCACACCATGAGACACACATGCACACACACGGTGTCGCTTAGTGAGTGAGAGAGAGAGAGAGAGAGAGAGAGAGAGAGAGAGAGAGAGAGAGAGAGAGAGAGAGAGAAAGAGAGAGAGAGAGAACCAGGGTAGAACAAAATATCCAGTAGGAAAATATTAAGTAGGAGAAAAAGTATACTTGAGGAGAGGGTCGGGGTAGAACAATCGTAGGTAGGAAAAGGTAACTGATCCGCACAGAGTTGATGCTCAGGGCGAGGTGCAAGATGATGGCTACGCGCATCATGGCGCACATATACCAGGCCGTCCAGGGGTCCTCGCCCCATAGCAGCCAAGGCACCGCGGTCGGCATGACGAATGCGAAGAGAACCATCAGGGTGTAGTAGTATCTGCGACGGTAAACAGTTGCAGTTGAGTGGGGCCAGAGCGCAAGGCACATTGTGAAAAAAAATTCCCCTTGAATAAAAAAGGCGTGCATGATCTCTTGAAAATGATAGTTTTATCTCAAATTAATGACATTTTCAGTAGTGCCATAGCAATGCCATACACTGCTAGAAAAGACCACAACGAAAGTACACAAATTTCTGGCAATTTTTTTAATCAGGTTTTTATTGTACTTTCAAAGTACAACAATTGTTGTACAAAGTACAATGGAACCGGCATGACGAGTGCTGGGCAGTCCAGGCCTCGTTGTGGTTTGTACAAATCTCGTTGTACTTCCTACAATCCCTGTTGTACTTTTATTGTACAGTTTTTGTTGTACATTTGTTGTAGTATACACACTTTTTCTTGCAGTGTAGCGTTTCCAAAAATGGTGTGCAACGAAACTGAAAAATTTTACCGGTGCAGGTGACGGCCTCTTACCTTTTCTGAAACATGACGATGGGGTCAGCCTCCAGGTCACTGACGTCGACGATCTTGCCCTTGGCGCGCACGTCGGGGTGCTTGTGCACCATGAGCCAGCCCACGTGAGCGAAGAAGAAGCCGCGCTTGATGTTGTGCGGGTCGACGTCCGTGTCCATGAACTTATGGTGCACGCGGTGGTTGCGCGCCCACTCGTAGATACTGTACTGGAATGTCATGGTCTGCAGCACCATGAACAGCGTGCGCAGCGGCCATGTCGCCTTGTACGAGCGGTGGGACCAGAGGCGGTGCGCGCCGGCGGTAACGCACACAATGTTTGACAGTGTGAGGACCAAGGCTGCGGGCAGAGGCCACCGTCAAACGCCTGAGTCCGCCTACAGATGTCGCGTAGAGGCCGCCGTTAGAAGTCACCGTAAGAGTTCACCGTCAGAGTGGTCACCGTAGGATTCCACGGTTGAGGTAGCCGTCATCGTCATCGTCAGAGCCCACTGTCTGAGGCTCCCGTCAGGCAGAGTCCGCCGTCAGAAGTCGCCACTCTAAATGTCTTACAATGAAATTCGACCTATGTCATTCGTATGTTACAGTCATTTCGGCGCAAGCATACTACGAAGCGATATTCCTTCGTAATACGAATCTTTTCAGCTTTTTCATTGTAAGATACAAAGAAAAACCTTCGTAATACGAAGAAAAACCACCTTCATATTATGCTTGCGCCATTTCCTTCGGAATATGGCAAATTTCTTCGTAAGACATTTAAAGTGGCCGTCAGACGTCCGCCATCAGAGTCCGCCACAGGTCACAGGCGTCACAGGTCACCGCGAGGGGGCAAAAACTCGGGATTTTCGTGTACACATGATTCGGAAAACGCAATAATTCACGTGATTCTCGTAATTTTAAATAATTTGCGTGTTTGATTTGGAATTTTAATCTTGATTGCGCGTGATTGCGTGTGATTCTGCACTCGTGTAAATCTTGCATGCTTGGCAGGCATGCGCTAGCTAGAGCGTGCTTGCTGGCATGCTCCAGTTAGAGCATAGAGCCGCCCAAGGTAGGCAAAAAGTCGCACGTTGCCTCTGAAATACTGACAGTCACAGCACTCTGAACACCTTTCAAACTATTTAAGGCTTACGAAGTAAAGTAGCTTCAAATAACAAAGTATTTACGTGAGCACTCAAAGAGAGTAGTTCGAAGGTAACGAACAATTTCTTCGCATAACAAGCTAAATTAGTTTGTACTGTGTCTTAAGTTACCCTTGCTGTCTCAACTTACCCCGGTTTACGGTACGCACGTATACTCACATTACTGAGAAAGGTTTGAAGCGAGCGGGATTTCCGGGGTTTTCTGTTTCTTGTCCAGTCAAAATTGGTGCTCACAAGCTGCCAAATCAGGCAGAATCACACACAATCACGCGCAATCAAGATTAAAATTTCAAATCAAACAAAATTACGCAAATTATTTAAAATTACGAGAATGACGTGAGTTATTGCGTTTTCTGAATCATATGTATACGAAAATCCCGAGTTTTTGTCCCCTCGCGGTGACCTGCGACGCCTGTGACCTGTGGCGGACCTCTGACGGCGCAGGGCCGGACTGGGCGGGTCGGGAAAGGGGAATCCCGGACGGGGCCACAGTAGGGTGGTCCAAAAAAAAAAAGAAGTTGCTCGGATCGTCCAACGCCGCCCGGATTTGGATTCTACATCGAAAAAAATCAAATACGTGTTTTTTCCTTTTTCGAAAAAATGGTTTTTAGGACCTCCTCAGTAGGGTGGATCATAAATTCTGACCCCCCAATTTTATTGGCGAAATGGAGTCTTGGGGATAGTAGAAGACCGTTAACGAGTTGGTTTTGGTCGGGAAAAAATTTGAACATATTAGTGGGGGGGGCCAAAGTTGGGTCTAAAGCTCAAAAATAGAGGTTTTTGGGTGATTTCTTGGGAACTAAATGAGATATCAAAACAGCTGGGGTCTCAAAAGTTGCGGAATTTTATTATCTTTCGATTGACACTACTGACAGCTTCGTAGGACAACTCTTTGATGGAGCAACATTGCGATTTATCAGCCCAAAAATGTTCAAAAGTCCCGAAAATGTCATATAACTTTTTTTCCGTTGCTGGTAACCAACTTCCGGATATACCATTCGATTCCTTGTAAAAAAAACAATCAAAAAAGGTCAATACACTTTGTTAGCTCAGACTTGTAATTTAAAGTTTCTGGGTCATTTAATGTAGAAAAGTACAAAAATTTGAATTGTTTTGAAGCTATGCACAAGATATAAGCATGCCAGAGTAACGGCTGGGGTCTCAAAAGATGCGGAATTTTATAAGCTTTCGTTTGAGCCTAGAACCAGCCGGGGGAACTTCAACAGGTATAAGGTCCCATCAGGTATAATCCCATCAGGTATAATGTTCTTCAGGTATAATTGGCAACACGCATAATTCTCAACAGGTATAATGGATTTATTTTTTGTTTGATCAGGTATAATTTGCATCAAGTATAATTCCCAACAGATATAACTTTTAATTTTTAAAATCTATTTTATATTTTACAATAAATTTGGCTCTGAGGAGCGATCCAATTCATCTGGGCAACAGTGACACCTTGCTAGGTGGGTGCATTCAGAAAGCGAGTCAATAGTGGAACCTTGGCCAAGGAGGGGAATCCATTCCAGAGCCAGGAAGAAGACTTGAAATCAGAACTGACACTTAATGCTTTTCACTCTGTAGGCCACTGTACATCACTACACTAATCTAGAATACTAATCAAAGTACAAGTAATTGGTACGCCACCTCCGCTTCGGATACCATCAATGCAAAGCACACTGGGAACAACTGTAACGAAGTGCCAAAAAATCTTTAAGTATCCATGCAATACCGTACATCGCAAAGTACACAAGAAAGCCTTGTAGACTTTTTGAGTGCTTGCAGCTGCAAACAGTGTGCTCACCATGTCTTCGTAGAGGGCCAAAATGACCAACAGCTGCCTACTAGATGGTTTCTCAGGACGGACGGAAAATGTACAATCAATTATGATCCATACTGCAGCTGGTGAAATTGTGTATTATGCCTGATGGGAATTATATTTGACGGGAATTATGTTTGATGACATTATTCCTGATGGGAATTATATGTGAAGAGAATTATATCTTATGCTACGCTTGTATTTATTATGTAATATCGGTTATATCTGTTAAGAATTATACCTGAGGAGATTTCATGTTAATCAAGAATAATTATTTATGCATTATATCTGATGAGAATTATGCTTGATGAGATTATACCTGATGGGACCTTATACCTGATGAAGACTACTCGAACCAGCCCTGTAGGACAACTCCTTCTATAGGAAACATGTGAAAAACTGCAAGAAAAAGCACTAGAAAAAGAGCACTGCTCCCGGCAAACTCATCAGGAACTAAAATTTCGACGGATCATAGCTTATCCCATTCTTATATACCCAGACTACAAAAGAGGCATTTCTCCGCTAAAGTCCTTCAGACTACGGAGTGAAATTTACGCTTTCTTCCATAGCTCCCAAACCAAGTCTGTGCCCAGGCTGAAATTTTGTACAGTGACTAGGACCAAGGAAAGGTACTTTCTCAAATTTTTTCAATTTTTTTCTAAAATACGTTTTTGAGACCTAGAAAAAAAAATTAAGTTCAACTTTTTTCAAAAAGTAAAAGTTTTTCAAAATTCTTGAAAAAATTCTAAAATGTTTGTCCTCATGCCTCCTAAGACCTGGTAAAATTTTCAAGTCCCTAGGTCAAGCTTTTCCCATCGATTTGTACCTTCAAAGTTGACTTTTACCAAAAAGTCGCAAAACACACTAAGGCCCACTGCTCCGGACTGGGTCGACCTAGGACCTTCAAAATTTGTGGGCATCTTTCTCTACCCTGGGGGTACTATGAGTTGCAAAAGAATCGGACCCGGCCGGCCGGGCTCGGCGATACCCCGCGCTCAGGCTGGTGCTGAAGACGCGCGGACAGGTTGGAAGATGGTCGGTCGCCGGGCCGCCTTGCTGCCAAACTATAACTGCAAGTGCACAATAGCTTTACGAGTGAATGACACCTCGACCCGACCCCTGGTCTGGGCGCCGCAGAGCAGCCGAGCAGCTCAGCTCATCCGGCCGGGCGGGTACGATTTTCACAAGTTCATTTCCGTGTAAAAATTACCAATTTTGACAACGCTACCAGAATGCGTTTCAAGATGAGCTAATTATTTTATTATAAGGTGTTCAATTAACTTTTTCTTACTTCATGAAAATAATCCTAGAAAATTTATTTTTGTATGCACAGATTGGAAATTGAGTTTCCAATACATTGGTCGACATTCCAAACGCCCTGGAAAATTTGTATTCGAGAATCAGCCGAGTCGCCTCCTCGCTATATTGTGTCGAGGGCCTCTTTCACTCCAAGCTGCACCGCTGCGAGGGTGCTGACACGCAGATTTATTGCCCTTCAACCCAAAATAAAATTTTTCATAAAGCTCAATTTTTGATTTTGAATCGAGTGGAAATGGCTTCCTTGCAAAGTTGCGGGTCCAGCCATATGTTGAAATTTTGTTCTACGCCAATTTTAACCGATATTTTAGGCCAAATCCAGTTGCCGACGAAACTTGAACTAATGGCAAGTGAAAACTCTCCACTTAAGGGGTAAACCTGTGTTGAGCCAAGATTAGTGGTCTCCTGGTTCGAAATCGCAATCTTTTTCGTTGTACTTTTCTTTCCCGGTGGTGTACTTTTCTTACCCTTTTCGAGGAGTTCCGAAATCACATACACTTTGGCATGTTGTACGCAATGTGTGGAACTATAAGCAATGAACAGTGATCCATTTCATTAGGAAGGCATTGGATTACAAGTTCACGAGCGCAGAATAGTTGAATCCTCATTTAGAACTTCTGTACAGTGCAAAGTACGCGTTTTGTACTTTTCTTCCCCAACCTACCCCTATATATACACGCTGCGTGTATATGAGACCCGTTTTTATTATTTAAACGCTGCATGTCTATGATGACTCCGTTTGCACTCTGGTGCATGCTGCCCCCCTCCCCCTCTCGGCACGTGCAGTTTATAGTTTGACAACAGCGCAGCCCTGCGTCGGTCCATCTGCCGAGAAGCCCGCCCGTCTTCGGCAGACGTCTGGGCGCGGGCGCGGGGTAGCGCCGGGCCCGGCCGGGTTCGATTCTTTTGCAACTCATAGTAATTACATGTGGCAAAATTTTGGTCCAGATCGGTGACACCAAAAAAAATCTTGTGCTTCCTAGATATGGAATCACTAAGAGGGAAACAAACTTCGTTTGCCATTTATTCACACAACCCCTCTATTTTTTTTTATTTTTTTTTTGGGGGGGGGGGGAGACTGGGGGCCACTGGCCAACCCTTCCGACGGGGCCAAATGCCTCCAGTCCGGCCCTGTGACGGCGACTTCTGACGGCGGACTCCGAAGGCGGCGACGGCGGACTTGACTGACGGCGACTTCGGGCAACGGACTCTGACGACAGCCTCTGCACTCGTGGAAATTTTGTCAGAATGTCAGATAAATGTCTGAAATCCTGATCCAAATTCTCGCACCTCTGAAAGCTGAAATTCTGAAAACTTACTCTGATATTGATGGTTCGAGTTCTAAGTACAGAATGTCAGGAGATGTTTTCAGCTTTCAGAGGTGCGCGAATTTGGATCACACTGTTTGCTCGTGGCGTTACATCTGTAATGACAAGTCGGTTGCCCCAGCGGAATGACTAGCCGTACGTCGGATCTGTACGGCGCACCATCCCTCCAGGGTGCACGGTTCGCTTTGCCGTACACTAGGGTATGACTTTTTCCCGACCCCCTCCACTGCCGACGCCGGCCCCCCACCACTCCTGTCCATACGTCTCAACCGTATGACCATACGTCTCAAACGTATGGTCTCTGACAAAGGTCCGCAAAAGCTTACTCCGTGCCCCCACGGGGCCCCGAACTCGCCACCTGCGGCCCGTGAGCCGCGCCGCCTGACCACCAGACCACCGCGCTCCGTGAGGGGAGGCGACTCGGTTGTCTACCACAATCCGCCAGGGCGGCGGGTCCGGCGACGAGGCGCGGGCTCCGGGGAGGCGGGGCAAACCCCCACTCCGACCACGCCGCCCCCTCACCCTGCCCCTCTCCCCCCTGAGTCATACCGAGGCGTACGGTCATACGCCAAAGCCATACGCCACCAGCCAGGGTATGACCATACATCTGAGACGCGTTACCCGCCGTACACGAGGGCCAAGGGTATGGCCATACAAAATTTTGCGATAGAGGGCCATTGCAAAAAAGTCATACCTTCCGGGCTCTGTAACGCTACAGATCTACAGTGCAGGTTCCTGACATTCTGACAAGATTTACACGAGTGCGTATACCGTGCAGCAAATGTACTCACTCCACAAGCAGGTGTACAACAGCGGCTGGCTGGTGAACGTGACGTAGTGGACGCCGCGAAGAACGGCCAAGTGCACGTATCCCAGGTAGATGACGGGCTTCCAGGCGATCCTCCAGGGGTATGGGTTCGCCGCCTTGGTCCCATTCACACCTCTCTGATTGGCCACCCGGCGGATCATTAATGCTTGTGGCTCTTGGAACATATTCTATGAACAAAGACCGCCGTGCTTTGCATCCGTTGCATGCGATGTGCATTTTAGGTTGTGTTGACTTTTCATTTGTCTAAGTTTCCATACTAGTGCCAGCAAATGTGCGATGATAGTGTGCTCATTTGGTGCATGAAACATCAAAGAATCAGAGAGTTTCAATTGACAGCTCGTGATCTCATTACGTTGATTGAGAAACGCGTTTTTAATGGGAGCTAGAGGGAGAAAAAGCCAAAAAGCATATCGGTCTTCTGTTCCCACATGGTCGCAATCAAAATTGTGCTCTCTGAATTGTGTTTTTTAGGACCCAAAAATGATGAAACTCAGGGAAGCGGAATTTTGACTTGGTCCACATGGGAACAAAACTCCGGTACACTTCAAGAAAAAGCTGTTCCCGTCGTCCTGACTCGGCTCAATTGCTGCCTGCCGAGCCGCTCATTCGCCCACTCCCAAAGGAGGGTAGGCCAATGCAGCTAACCTTTTAGCTCGAGGGTTGCCAGTCACGAGCACGTTGTTGCAAGTGTCTAGGTGCCAAAGTCCGTTGCCTCGCGGCAGTTCCCCTGTAAAAATCATTGCGATGAAATCAGCAGTAGCACTTCCTCTGCGAATTAAACACAATTCCTTCGCAAGCCGCCGTGCGAAGTCCTTCCTGTGGCAAAAAACGTATGGAAAAGTCAGTTTACTTTTCTTTGCCATGATTCTGCGAGGGGGTAAACACTCGCGTAATACGCTGCACAACAACCGTGTAGTACGCCTATTACACGTGAACGTAATACCAGTTTTGGGTTAAATGTGCCAAATTTTGGCACTTAAAGGCCGCCGCAATATCAGTGTAACACCCCCATCCATGCGCATGGATGCTTGCCTGCATGCATGCGCGGGGTGGTGGATCGCCACGGAATACATATAGTAGAAAGGTGTTGTTTTCATCCGGCAAGAGTTAGAATGACATTTTAATTCACATCATAACTCTCCTAATAGTTTTGGTATACAAGATAAAGGATATTTTGGAAGTGCATTATGGCGAAAGGGAGGGAGTGCAAGCATGCATGCATAAGCAAGCGTCAGCACGTCGCGCAGAAAATACCCCTTTAAAAGCAATTTTATCAATTCTGAAACATTTCTAACGGCGAGAAATGTCTTCTTGGCTCATGCTAGATGGAAACAATAGCCTCCTGAGTGGACCCCGTGGCGATTGCCATGCATGCATGCACGCAAGCAAGCATCCATGCGCATGGATTAAACTTTACAGACCCCGTGTGGGTGGACGCTGTCCGCAGTCCTCCGTGCCCCTCAGCAGACTGACTGCGTCAGACAACCGGTTGGCGAGGAGAGGGGCTCATTGACAAGTGCGACCCGCAGAAGAACCTTCGCGACACTGCGTCCTCGATGTGCCACTGCAGTGACCCCTGACCCGGACCGTCGGGCACACGTGGCGACCCGTGCTGCACGAGCCTTTCACAGCAACATTGTGGCACCAACCGAATTGGAAAATGCCAAAACCTGGGCAACGAGTGCAATAGTAAAGATTGAACTTTCAGACACTTTTTCCCTGGATAGATCTTTCAGACATGTGGGTATTTTGGGCGGGGCTAACCTAGGGGAACCTAAGTTAAGATCTTGAATGACGATAACTTAACCCTAACGTAAGTTACAAGGTAGGTTTACGCCAGACCGCGTCTTGTCGTAACAGGCTTCGCGATGTCTCGCTGCCTGTTCCTCCAATTCACGCCTGGCGTACCTATCTTGGCCTGCGGCGCTAGCCTGCCTGCGGCAGGCAATGACTTGCCCGTTGTCGGTTATTTTTTACTTGTTGAATGCTGGGGGGCTCCGCCCCCCAGACCCCCCTACATTCTAAATAGAGTCGTTTTATCTACAGATAACACGATCTTGACCCTTTTCACTTTTTAACTTGTCGAGGCTGGGGGGCTCCGCCCCCCAGACCCCCTACCTCCAAGACAGAAGTGGTCTATCTGCAGAAATCTCTATTTTTCGCCGTTTTTTAGGTGTTTTTCGCCTATAAAAACTGAACCAGTTGAGCTAGGATGGTGAAATTTCGCGTGTGCCGAGCCAAGGACATACCCAAAAAGTGTGCCAAATCTCACCGAGATCGGCCGAGCGGTTCAGGAGGAGTAGTGCGGACAGACAGACCGACAGACAGACAGACCGACAGACAGACACACAAAACTTTTCAACCCCACTGGAGTAACAGGCTTCGCTATCGCTCAGCCAATGATCTTGAGCGAACCTAACCTACGGCAACCTAAGCCTGGACCAGCCGCGGCGCACTCCCCCTCCTGGTTCCGCCGCTGAGACGTAATGAGCCACGAGGCGAAGCCGTCGAGCGCTCTCCTCCCTCGGCCCGCCCCTGCCGCCGCGCACCGCGGCCAGGCGGCTAATTTACAATCCCTTGGCGATTCGGCCCCCTGTGGCAAATTCGCCGGTAGGAAGCCCCCGGCCGCAGGTCAAGGGACAGGCTATCTCCAACATCTTTCTGGGCCATTCCAAAAGCCCAAAAAGCTTTGCAAGCTTTTGGGATTGTTTCGGGAGCTGTTCATTATTATCCCAATGTCACCCATTTCCCATTTATATGAGCCCAAGAGTCAAAGGTCCTATGAAATCACTAGACTATTTACCAGACCATCATGCTGCAATGCTATCTACCGCTCTGCTCTAGAGGACCGCGCGGAACAGGCTATATATTGTCATTGTTATTATGGTACGCTCAGTGTTGCTCCTACACTGTCAGAAAACTCCGTAAAAATACGGAAATTTAACGGAGACTGTCCATTTTTTTAAACGGAGATCTCCGTTTTTTTGAATTATGGATTTTATCCGTAAAAATATGGAAGTTATGTATATAAATGAAATAGAAGCCTTACTTATCAAAAAGAACTGACTAATTCACGTTATCGATGGGTTGGGTGAACAACTGATTAGGTGTTCCAGGAGTGCGCCTTCCCTAAAGCGACCTCGCCTCTGGGTTTCCGTCCATTTATCCGATCCTAATGGCATGTGGTCAAGTGGATCTTCAAACAGTTTTGGAGAATATCACTTTCGTCAACAAGGACACTGTTTGCATTAACATCGAAGGTGGAAGGAGGGAAGTAAACCGTTAAAATGCGTTTATTTCTGCAAAAATGTGGTTCATCTCCGTAAAAATATGGAAAATTTACGGAGCCTCCATTCCCAAAATTAGAGTAACTTTCTCCGTAAATTTACGGACTTTTTTTCTGACAGTGTATGTACAATATTGCAAAATGACACTACTTTGCATGGAGCTATATGCCTCGGTTATCAGCCCAAGTGGTTGATCGAGCTGATTCTAAGCTCTTGCTTAGGTGAGTGCAGAATACGAGATACAGCACTAACATTTCTCGTGCACTGTGAAAATTTGTTGGCACTTTATGACAAAAACGTGGATGACATTTTGATCACTTTCAAATGATGACAATCTCATCACAAATTCATGACATTTTCATCAAAGTTCCTATACTTATTGCATGGGCGTGACACAATGTCATCAGTTGTTTCGATGACATCGTTGTTAAGAGAATTAGCCTTGGCATGAAATTGTCATCATGACGACTCATATTTTCACAGTGTGGACGAAAACAAATTGTATAGTTTACGTCCCTGGATTGTTTCAGGTTTCAGAACCAAGCCAGTGTACCGTCAAGTCCCCTAAAGTGGGACGATTTTTACGGAAAATCGTCTGTTATTCACAGAATGACGATGACACCGAAAATCGCCGAGGATTTAAGAATCCTTATGTCGAAACACGTCTTTTAACGAAAACAAAAAAAATTCAGCCTATGGGGCTCCAGTGGGAGCAGCAAGAGCCGTCTCCCAATTTAGGAGCCAAAGTCTCCTAAAGTGGGACACGTTCATTCTTTTCCGCCCAAAAACTGCAGTAGCAAAAAATTTCACAAAATGTTTTATGTTCTAAATTTTATTTGAAGCAATATTGGTTCTGAAGTCTTTTTCGATATCTCGACTGGTTAGGCTGATATGAGCCTCTTCAAACAATTAGATTTCGTTAGACATATTTAAATTAGAAACCACCGCAGCGCCTAAACCAATTGAAATACGGCGAAAACCAATAAAACAAAATGGCCTTAAAATTTAATTTTTGGCCAAAAACATTTTATGAAATTTTTTGCTCAGGTCGTATGTTATATGTTTCGAAATGCACGGCAAGAAATAGATGTTGAAATTTTGAAAGTTAAGAACCGTTCGCCCGGCAACTTTTTTCTTGAAATTTTTTTGTTCAAAATATAATTTTACGCAAGATTTGTTTTATGGTCGATAACGATACCTTTGTCGGTTCAGCCAAGAGGAAGCATTTGCTTTCAAACATTAACTAAATTTTGTGCTGACTTAAAGCGTATCGAACCGTACTTGCCCGACTGCCTGGGCCTCCAACCCGACCTGGCAACCTAATATAGACCAGGCGGCGTTTGTGGGACGCTGGAGGTGAATGTAACGCCTCTGAATCGGTCAAAATCTAAAAGAAACGAAGAAAATTCATGTGTCTCACTTTACAGCCCCTTAGAAGATTGCCCACCGTAAAACGAAGCGTCGGAAACAAATTTTCGAAAGTGCATCTTGTAGATAAGAGAACGCGCCACAACATGTCTGAAGTCTAGAACGGTCCGAGCATCAACGGCTCGAAGCCCCGAATCCGCGCTAGACGTCTGAAAAAACTTCTCTTTTTTACTGTATCAAATGCCAATTTTCAAGATTTTTTGGGGGAGGGGGTATGAGCGGGAACAAGACACTTTCTGCGCGGATATGGTCTCGGAGGGTCCTACCGTCTAAAAAAAAAACATTTTATACCTCGCAAAATATCCACGCGTTGGCCGTTTACGGCCTAAACTAGAAAAAATAGTCAAATGTCCCACTTTAGGGTTCGTGTCCACATTTAGGGGACTTGACGGTAAGTATTATACCAGTCATGGGCCTGCTATGGTTTGTGTGGGTCATGCTCAACCACGGGAGATAATCCTCCCGCTGCGGTGTGATTTTCTCTGTAACATCCAAAACGTACTGACGGTACCGAAGTAGACACGAAGCGGTAACTGTTTTCCTCTATTGTTCCTCTATTATTATGATACCGAAACTTGGGATACACAAGGTGGGTTTACGCTAGACTGCGTCTTGTCGTAACAGGCTTCGCGATGTCTCGCTGCCTGTTCCTCAAATCCGCGCCTGGCGTACCTACCTTGGCCTGCGGCGCTAGCCTGCCTTCAGCAGGCAATGGCTCGTCCATTGTCGGTGATTTTTTTAACTTGTTGCATCCTACATTCTAGACAGAGATGCTTCATCTACAGATAACACTATCTTGACCCTTGTAACTTTTTAACTTGTCGAGGCTGGGGGTTTCGCCCCCCAGACCCCTCTTTCTCCAAGACAGGAGTGATCTATCTGCAGAAAACTCGATTTTTCGCCGTTTTTTATGTGTTTTTCGACTATAAAAACTGGACCAGTTGAGCTAGGATGGTGAAATTTCGCGTGTGCCGAGCCAAGGACATACCTAAAAAGTGTGCAAAATCTCACCAAAATCGGCCGACCCGTTCAGGAGGAGTAGTGCGGACACACACGCACACACACCCGCACGCACGCACGCACGCAGACAGGAAAAACTTTTCAACCCCACCTGAGTAACTGGCTTCGCTATCGCTCAGCCAATAACAAAGCGATAAAGAAACTCAAAAGGTAGGTGTACGCTAGACAGTGGCTTGTCGTAACAGGCTTCGCGATGCTGCGCCAGTTCCGACCATCCACGCCTGGCGTTAACATACCTTGGCCTGCGGCGCTGGCCTGCCTTCGGCAGACTCTCTCCACACATGGTCACTTAAACAGACCTGATCGCACATCGAAGCAGCATTCGGTTTTAACTTTTATGCTGGGGGACTGCGACCCCCTTTCATTATGTACGGGGCGTCGAGGTTAGTTTGCTGGTCAATAGGGTGGGCCGTGAAACACGATTTTTCGATATCGCAAACGTAATAGCGCGCCAAAGTTACTTCATGGCATTACAAACTCAACGCGATCTGGGGCAGGTCTGTAACTTAAAGCTTGACCCTCGCGCATCGACGTTGAAAATTCGAAAATTCGACTTTTACGGGTTTTTCTAAAAACATCCATAGAAACTGAACCAGATGTCCAAATGATGTTTGCGAGACGGAAATGGAAACGTCTGATCATGCTTTATCAGTTTAAGACCACCGGGACCCTCTCCGAGCAGTAGGGGACCGATGGGAGAAAATTACAAAATTACAATTTTTTCCCGTTTTTTACAAAATGCAAAAATTGCCTTCAGGGTTTGATACGGCCATCCTGACGTCACCGTACCCGAACCATACCCCGAATCATCTTCTCTAAGGGCCCCTTTCCCGTTTTAAGCGCACGGGGTACTCCGGGATCCGTTCACACGTTAGGATTTGGACGCCAAAAACACATGTTTTACTAAAAATGCAAATTATCGGTACTCAGGGCACTGTAGGGCACTCGTCCCGTCCGTATGAACTGCAGTGACTCAGAATCGATTACTAGATGGTGTCTTTGCGTCGCAGGAACCCACCAGTATATAGACAATCGGACGAAGAGACCTTTAGAACGCTATTTACACTGTAAATCTCGTTAATCTAGAGTTAAAACGTATTTGGCTCGTCTGGATTAACGACAGAAGGTCGCTGCACGTTTATACAGGTTATTCTTATCCATCGCATAGGTTGTAGGTGCCTGTGACGCAAAGACACCATCTAGTAATCGATTTTGAGTCACTACAGTTCATAGGGACGAGACGAGTGTCCTAAGTACCGATAATTTGCATTTTTAGTAAAACATGTGTTTATGGCGTCCAAATCCTAACGTGTGAACGGATCCCGGAGTACCCCGTGCGCTTAAAACGGGAAAGGGGCCCATAGAGAAGATGATTCGGGGTATGGTTCGGGTACGGTGACGTCAGGATGGCCGTATCAAACCCTGAAGGCAATTTTTGCATTTTGTAAAAAACGGGAAAAAAATTGTAATTTTGTAATTTTCTCCCATCGGTTCCCTACTGCTCGGAGAGGGTCCCGGTGGTCTTAAACTGATAAAGCATGATCAGACGTTTCCATTTCCGTCTCGCAAACATCATTTGGACATCTGGTTCAGTTTCTATGGATGTTTTTAGAAAAACCCGTAAAAGTCGAATTTTCGAATTTTCAACGTCGATGCGCGAGGGTCAAGCTTTAAGTTGCAGACCTGCCCCAGATCGCGTTGAGTTTGTAATGCCATGAAGTAACTTTGGCGCGCTATTACGTTTGCGATATCGAAAAATCGTGTTTCACGGCCCACCCTACTGGTCAAACTGTATTACATTTTTGGTTCGACTCCCCTTAAAATCTGGCTAACTTTTCTCCTACTAGGCCTCAAATCTTGGTCGGATGTTAGAATATATTCCCTTTTCATTTTCAGCCCCCTCCGAAACATATGAAATGAAGTAATACTTAACACGGCAACATATGTCGGTAAAAAGTTAATTTCTATGCCGTTTATTATGTGTTTCTTGGCTGTAATGACTACGTGGAGCGAGATAGAAAGATGCATTTTGGTGTATGGCGAGCCAAGGAAGCTCCTAATGACCCTGCAAAATCTCAGCCAGATCAGCCGAGCCGTTCAGAAGGAGTAGTGGACACACGCACACACACACACGCAGACCGACAAAGATTTTTAACCCCACTGAAATAACGGGCTTCGCTGTCGCTCAGCCATTTATATCTTTCTTTTTCTTCATTACAAACACCCACCTAAAGAAAAGATAAATCAAATGTTGGAAGATTATGAGGGCCACACTTAACGAAAAAGAACTGTATCATCTGCTTTGACGTCCTGGACTTTACTGAACTTTTTTTTGTGTGTTCACAGTCGCTGTGGCTCTGGACGAATGCTGCTGACCCACTCGGTGTGTACGGCGCGCCACCAGCACCCCCACTGCTCGGCGTCGCTGCCCGCCCAGATCCATTGCCATCCATGACCATTGATATTGCCAGTGGCATTTTATTGTCAGTGGACTCGTGTACGAGGGGGTAAACACTTGCGTAATACCCTGTACACAAAAGTCGGGTATTACGCCGTAATACGCGTAATAATAATACATTTTGGGACCAAAAGTATAAAAAAATGGCATTTTTCAATGAAATCGAGGCGTAATACATGCGCAATACAAGTGTAATACCCCGTAATAGGGAGTGGTCTGTACAAGCTTCAACGGAGTGTTTACCCCCTCGCTCGTGTAAATTTTGTCAGAATGTCATAAACATGTCTTAAGTCATGATCAAAATCCGCGCACCTCTGAAAGCTGAAATTCTGAAAACTAACTGTTATGTTGATGGTTCGAGTTCTACTGAATGTCAGGAGATGTTTTCAGCTATCAGAGGTGCGCGAATTTTGATCAGATTTTCAGATAGGTTTCTGACGTTCTGACAAGATACACGAGTGTGGTGTTACAGCAGGTTGAGTCCCGCAGGATAACTTCTGGGTTGTCACGAAAATGTTTACGCATGTCACCTGTGTGGAAGAAAATGAATTCAACCATGTCTTTTCCTTCCGCATCCTCTTATATGTTGCCATACCAATTTTCTTCATTATCTTCTTCGCCATCCTCATTTTGTTCATTATCTTCTTCACCACCCTCATTTTCTTTATTATCTTCTTCGCCACCCTCGTTTTCTTTGTTATCTTCTTCGAGGTCAGTAAGCTTATCTGTCAAATTGATTACTTCTAAGGTTTTGTCCGGAAGCCTCTTTTCAATTAGAACAGCGGCCCCTTGGATCTTCTGTCACAAGCATGGCTAGTTCAGCCACGGCATCCTCCATCTTACTGCCTCTTTTCCTATTCTTATTTCGCATAGCAAACCTGAACAAATTTCGAGTTTATACATGAAGAGCTGATGTTTGATTGTATGAAAACGAAGACAATGTGTGTGTGTGTGTGTGTGTGTGGTAGTCAACAGTCAAGGAATTTCGTAGTGAAGTACAAATTATGTTCTTGGCGCTGAAACCTCGCTCGCACTCAGCTGAACTGATTGAGAAGGTCTGAATTAGAGCTTTTAAGGGCTCGAGTGCAGCAGATAATTATTCATTATCATCAACGAACTCCCTCATTGCATTGACCGCTTCCGTGGCGTCATGCTCAAAACGCGCGCAGAGGCGACAATGGCCCGCCTGGGCCCCACAAGTCGAGCGTGGCCATCGTCTGGCCAAAAATGAGCGTATGGGCGGGGAAAATGTTCTGGACCATACGCACGGCCGAAAAAATGTTCTGGGCCATACGGCGTATGGCCGCGTATGGCCTCCAGTGCACCGCTGAGCGGAGGCCGTAGATCTTTTTGTCATAGACTCCCTAGTTCATAACCTTCAAGACCTTGAGGTTCAACAGGTTGTTTCAAACTAAGTATGAAGTGATGAAGCTTGATAAAGTGATCGAGATCATGCAGACATGAAGCGGGGAAAGAGCAAGTGAAGGAAGTCCAAACGTGCAGAACAACCAGCTCTAATGTTGTCTCTGTCCACCAGGCATCTGGTCCAGATTATCATCTCGATCAGGCTCCATCCAGATCGAACTCCAGATCAAGAAAATGGTCTCGAGGTGGAAGGTACAAGTCCAGATCTAGGAGTGCATCGTCTGGATCCAAGGACGACTCCAGATCAAGAAAATCCAGCTACAAGTCAGGCCGACGCAAGTCGTATGACTCATCCAGCACGCACCGTAAGTGCAGAAGTCATCGGAGTATGTGTAAATAAGTTTTGAAACTTATAATCTGTTATTGAAGATTGTATTTAAAAAAATGGAGGTCATGAGTGTATATAAGCAGTGTCTCACGGACACGACATTGATTGCCAGCCCCGTCAGCGCGCTCTGACCTTTTCCTGTAGAATGGCAGGTTTTATTCCACATGTCAGCAGCTCGTCCACCTTCTCTTTCTGAGCAGCATCCAGTCTTTTACTTTCTGGATAATGTTGCACTTCAACTGGATCAAGGCCATGGGTGTGGTTATGATCAAGTTGAGTGACAACCACACATCCATCAAATTGCATGGCATAGATGTATGCCGTACACTTGATCTTGTGCGACCTGAAATGAATATTGATAAAATATATTTAAGTTTTAAACTTTATGGTTCAGAAAGGAGGAACATCTTACTATTGATTTTTGGCAAGGGGGGGGGGGCATCACCTATGGGTCTACGACTTCGGCAAAATGCACGGCTGGCAACAAGGGCACGGTCCAACTTCTCAAAAGGAAGGGAAGGGTGTCGCTTTTCAACAAAGAGGGTGAAGTGTAACTTCTTTTTAAAAAACGGCAGTGATGTAGAGGTTTGACTAAAGCAACAGGTGGTCAAGTTCTTTGTTTTATTCCCCTTCCCTTTCATTGGACTGAGACCGCCTTCCCTTGCCGTTGTTTTATTATTCAACTTGGTTTCTTTGGCACCATTCCACGGAATAGTCTTGATGTATCTCCAACGCATAATTATAGATATTTGGAGGTAATATTTCCGCGTTTTGTTCGATCTTGGCTATGACTGAGTGGAATAACATCTGACGATAATCCATTACCCTTTTCTTTAGTCCTAATTCATCGAAGATCTGCTTCACAACATCAACTTTTGACTGATCATCGTAACCGTAGTTTTCCTGAAAGAAAAGCAAAATTTGAACGACACGCCGTGCAGGATAAATTTTCTCAAACAATGGATCGAAAGGCTTGGATTCTTCCGCTGGCAACACTATGGCAAAAAGCTACGGAAAATTCTGTGGACAAACTTGTAATAATTCTCCGTAGGACCGTACAGTGCGAAACGTAAAGAAGCATTTCTACAGAACTTCACTGAGATTCCAAAAGCTATAAGTATAGCACGTGTGGTGCAATGCACTGAGATATCACACCATACGTGCAATGCCATATTGCACCTTACGTGCAGTGCATCCCGAAAAGGCCGTATGCTAATGCATGGGAATGGGAAGGCATTTCACTTCATATGCAATGCTTTTGCATTACACCAATTGACGCTATATTCATAGCGTTGGATTATCAGTTACCAATTATTTTCCCGAAAAGGACATACTGGCAGATGACATTTAACTAACAAATGAATGCTTTGGACAGCCCAATTTACATAACTTTACGTCCTCTGGACAGATGCATACCTGCAGGATCTTTTTCTGGCTCGCGTTGGCTATTTTCTTGGCCTCTAGAATCATCCAAGTGCAACAGCCATTCCTGATGTCGAGGCTCACGTCACTCTTGTCATCACCGAAGCAGTCGTTGTAGTCATCCTGTATGAGTAGGGCATACGTTAGGCCACGGAATACACACTAAATGTCTTACGAAGAAATTTCCCATAATACGAAGGAAATGGCGCAAGCATAATACGAAGGTGGTTTTTCTTCGTATTACGAAGGTTTTTCTTTGTATCTTACAATGAAAAAGCTAAAAAGATTCGTATTACGAAGGAATATTGCTTCGTATTATGCTTGCGCCGAATTCACTGTAACATACGAATAACATAGGTCAAATTTCATTGTAAGACATTTAGAGTGTAGACTTTTCTTGTCATGGGTGACAGGGAATTGTTGGGTGTCTGGATCCTTCTCCTTTTTTTTTAATTGTTCAATAGAGTTGCCCGTAGAGCAAATGCTCTGCCTGGGCTCTTACATGCATGTGTGTAACATAAACAAAGGTTTTGACTGGACAACGGGAGGGCATAATGGCAGCTTTGCGCATCGTAGTTTGTGACTCCAGACACCTCCAAATTCTCTATTCACACTGAGACTGAAATAGAGGGCTCAGACGGTCGGACACTGCGGACGGTATTTCTAGTTCGCTTTGGAGCCGGTAGCAGCGCCACCTGTGTCAAACTGGCGGTCACCAAAGAGAACTCGATGACGAATTACACTGGTAAAACTAAAGCGTAACTCTATGCTTGAGTCAAGCATAAAGTTACGTTTGAAGACGTTACGCTTAAAATCAAGCATAGGCTAGAAATTCCCCCATGCATTTAGATAGGGGGAATCTTGGCGGATGAGCCTGTTATGCTTGAGTTCAAGCGTAAACTGATAACGCTTGAAAACAGTGGGGGAATACTACGCTTTAGTTTTACCAGTGTAGTCGCAAACTGCCAAAACAAACGGCATTTTTCGTAAAGTAGTGCGTATCTGATGCGGCGGAAAATTATAGACATCCAAAGACCATGCGGTGAATCGGCAGGCACGCTTAGGCTCTCTTACTTCAAAATTTGTCCTGTGCGGACAGACGGAAAAGCCGTGTCCGTGGCCCGGCCCGCCCGACACAACTCGGGCCGGGCCGGGCTCGAATCTGCTCCGTAAGCGGGTTGGCAAAACGCGCCGATGTCTCCGACCGTCTGAGCCCTCTAGACTGAAAGAGTTTTGATCAAATGTAATTTTGAAGGAGGTAGGGTCGGGACGGGGAAAGATGGGGGACACACACCCTTAGGGTGGGGAAGAAACGTATATTCCACTTTTTCCGCAAATACTGCAATTGCAAAGGCGATACTTAAGTACATTTTTTGGCGATACAATTAGGTATCGCCATTTAACGGCCTTAGGGAAAAGTATTGCCTATAGAACGGCGATACACAGAAGTATCGCCAAAGTTTGGCGGTACTTTTGGGTATTGCCAAAACCACGGCATTAAACAAAGGTCTTGTCCCCTTGATTTGTTCGACGTTTATTGCCAAATCGTCGCAATACTGCAAAGTATCGCCAAATTTAGGCGATACTTTTGTGTGTCGCCGTTTTGAAGGCAATACTTTTCCCTAAGGCCGTTTATGGGCGATTCTCAATTGTATCGCCAAAAAAGGAACTAAAAGTATTGCCGTTGGATTTATAGTGAATTTGCCTCATTCGAGACGTGGAAGACAGTACAATATTTTTCTGTGTAGATGTGCCAGATAGCGTACTGGAAGAATTTAGCCTGGTACGACCAGAAAAATGTAAAAAAACACCTCTGAATGAGGTCTTGATTCCAACCAACTTAAAACTTTGAAAATCCTTGTCCACATTATGTCTTATGTGCCGTGTGTCTTATGAAGCATTTCCGAGCGGACGGTGACGAAAAACCCTATAGCAAAAAAAAAGGAGACGGAAGTTTTTAGTCCAAAAGTTCTATGGTTTTGGCTGGATTACGATTTAAAGGGTCAATATGAAACGGGGGGAAAACTTGCACGGGTGCGGGGAAAATTTAACACCTTTATCTTTCATATGCATCGTTTTAATGCCCAAACATCTAACCAAAGTGGTCGCAACAAGAACATTCCGACAGCTCCCCCCTTCCTATTCTCATAGGTATTGACCAGATTATGAATCCTGCGTTTCGTACTTCTTAATCAGAAGCTGTTTGATATTGATGTACCCTGACCTGACCAAGAATTTGGTGGAAAACCTGTGCCTCAGACCTCAACGCATCTATGAACTTTCAAACGTTAGCGTTTGCACAACTATAGGTTTCTGGAACCAAGAATGCCAACCGGCGAGCCGCTGCCCCAAACAATGCAGGGCCACCACAGTACCATTGTCGGCGAACTTCGTTCGGTGCCGACAAAACAACGCAGGCCATTATTAGGGCTGGTCATTAAGTTATGGGACATTCTACTACTTTGAACATTATGTGTATGAACGAAATTCCGACGGACAGAAACGGATCGGTCCGATTTGGCCTGCAGGTAAATTTTACCCGCGGACATTCCTTCACTGCACAAGTCCATCGAACCACCAAATGTATCCCCCTCTCGAGTAAGCAGTAGAGATATTTGTATTCATACCACTATTTGAAGGATCAGACTCATGTCAACGGAAATGTCTCGAGCTGCTGCGTAGGCTTTCGGATCTTGGACGCCACACTGAAAATCAATGACAGAGACAGAAGATTAATATTTTCAGAGATACATCACCCCACACAAAGCTCTGAGCGAGGTGGTAAACACTTGCGTAATGCCCTGTAGACAAAAACCGTGCATTACGCGTAATACACGTGAACGTGAAACCATTTTGGGGTCAAATGCACTGTGAAAGTTTGTTGTCACTTTATGACGAAATCGTGGATATATTTTTCTTATAACTTTCAATGATGACCAACTCATTACAAATTGATGACAATTTTCATCAAAGCTTCTATTCTTATTGCATGGGTGTGACAACAATGTCACACTCTTGAAACGTTGCGAACCGATGTGTTTGTAAGCTTGCACTGCAAATGCAACGGCGATACTAAAGTACATTTTTTGGCGATACAATTGAGTATCGCCAATTAGCGGTCTTACGGAAAAGTATTGCCTTCAGAACGGCACACTAAATGTTTATGTAGAATTTTGTACGTGCCACCTGCACGATTTTGTGCATGCGGGGAATTTGCATAATATTAAGCGTGAAAATGCATAAATTTATGCAAATTCACGCACAATTTTATGCACGACGGCACACAAGTTTAAAATTATGCATCACCACGTACAAAATTGTACATAAACATTTAGTGTGGGCGATACAAAAAAGTATCGCCAAAATTTGGCAATACTTTTGGATATGGCCAAAACCACGGCATTAAACCAAGGTCTTCTCCCCTTGATTTGTTTGACGTTTATTGCCAAATCGTGGCAAATACTCGAAAGTATCGCCAAATTTCGGCGATACTTTTGTGTATCGCCGTTTTGAAGGCAATACTTTTCCGTGAGGCCGTTTATTGGCGATACTCAATTGTATCGCCAAAAAAGGTACTAAAAGTATTGTCTTTGGATTAACAGTGTGCGAAGAACTCGACTTGTTCGCAATGCAAAGAACGCATCCGTATTGCAAATCAGTAGTTCGCAACCTGCGAACAACGTGTTTGTATTGCAAACCCTTTGCGAACACATTGTTCGCAAAATTGCGGACTATCAGTTCGTAATACAATCAAGCCAAACTATTAGCAAGCTGCAAACCAAATGGTTTGTAATGCGAACACATTCTTCGCAAGGTTTTGAGAGTGCATCTGACATCCTTGTAAAGAAAATTTGCCTTGAAATAGTCATCAAGTGACGACTCAAATTTTTGTAGTGAAGACGGCCAAGAGATAGTTTAATCCACAGGCACTTGATGCAGCCCCAAAAATCTTTCTTTTAAAACCGCGAAGCCATTTCTGGGGAACATAGTCGACTACCTCGCTCGTGTTGCCCAGCCGATAAAGTCCCTTGTCTTCGTCTACCGCTACTACGGCCACAACGTTGGATTCTGGTAAAAAATGAATTGCTGTTGTAGTCTTTTGGTAGCAAGCATTGCCTCTAGTCTTCGATTGAATGTTGTCTCGTCTGGTAGTTTGTCCGTTTAATTTTTCATTCTAACAAAAAGCTACTAGATTCTCAACGCACTTTCGGTAGTCTCAGTTCATCCCTCATTTTCCTCGGTAATGATTGGTCAAGCCGACACATACTCTAGAAACTGAAGAGTGTGCATGGCATGCTCCCCAAGGGAGTATGCCACAAAGCACGCTCCATCCTGGAGTGTGCTTGCAAGCACACTCTTCCCAGGAGCATGCTTGGCAAGCACGCTGTACGGAGGAGCATGCTTCCAAGCACACTCCAGGATAAAGCGTGCTGCGTCGCTATTGCAAGGCCCATATGATCGAAGAGGCACGCCTTAATCCTGGAGTGTGCTTTGAAGCATGCTCCTCCGTAGACTGTGCTTGCCATGCATGCTCCTCCGTAGAGTGTGCTTGTAAGCACACTCCAGAATGGAGCGTGCTTTGTGGCATACTCCCTGGGGGGAGCATGCCATGCACACTCTTCAGTTTCTAGAGTATGTTTACTTTTCACAAGTAAGACTATACAAAATTAAGTTAGCGACAAAGTTAATCAATGTCGCAGACATTACCATATTTTTAATTAATTTGGAAAACTTGTCGCTCCTGACAATTTGTAGGGGGTCCACGACTTGTTTCTGAAGGTGAGCTGTTAAGGGGCCGTTCAAATATGACGTCACACTATTTAGGGAGGGAGGGGTCAGAGAAATCGTGACCAAATGTGACATGGGGGAGAGGGGGATGAAGGCTTAGACATCACACTTTTAAACAGTGTAAAGTTGCCAAATATACTAGGTGTGAGCCTCTAAAAAATATGCTGAAATCAGCAACCCCCCGCCTATTTCAGCTTAAATTGTTACCGGCTTTAGTAGTTTAGCTGTCTCAGATTTTTCCGAACAAGTTCGCGTTAGACCGGATTCGACCGAATTTGTCAAAATGCAATCAAATCATTAAATTTGCACCTATTTGAGACGATCTAGTCGCGTATCTATCCCAGTTTCCAAGAAAAATGATTTGGGCTATGTGACGTCACGGGGAGGGGAGGAACGAGTCAAAATAGTGACCATTTGTGACTATAGGGGGGGGGGGGTCGAAAAATGAGCCTAAAAAGTGTGACGTCATATTTGAACGGCCCCTAATTATGTAAGCACTAGTTTGTCGTTGTGGGACAATCATTTTGTTGGAATGCGACAGTGATCCAACAAGCTATCCGCCCTAAAACAAATCTTGTCGCTAAAAAGACACCAGATCCCCCATTCTACGTATTGTATTACCAATACACTTTCGTAAACGCTTTTCTTCGGGCTGAAAACCGCTTCACTCGTGTAAATATTGTCAGAATATCAAAAACGTGTCAGAAGTCCTGATCGAAATTCGCGCACCTCTGAAAGCTGAAATTCTGAAAACCTTACTCTGCTATTGACGCTTTGAGTTCTACCATGGTTCTACGGACTGTCAGGAGATGTTTTCAGCCTTCAGAGGTGCTCGAATTTTGGTCAGATTTTCAGACAGGTTTCTGACGTTCTGACAAGATTTTCACGAGTGTCTAAAGGCTGTGTGAGGAGCTGCACATTGACGAAAGGGTTGGATGCAGTGGCCGCTAGAACTCAGCACAAAACATTCTTTGATACACTTAGCTTACCGCCAGCAGGGCCGCCGCCACGGGGCTGTAGAACTCAATTAATGAGGTCTTGAGCCTGGCTGCCATCTGGTACCGCGTCAGAGTGAAATCTTCAAGCATGGCTCTGCCGGGCTTAGCGATGTGGATGTCATCATTCTGCCCCAAATAAAAGCCGAACGTCGTCTAGGCAAAGCAAGTACGAAGAACAATATTATTCTATGATACCTTCACTTACGTAGGAAGCGTAAATAAGAAAATCATGGTCGTCACTAGGAGGCTAAGTTTCCCCACAAGCATGTGAAAAGATTTGATGACATGGTAGGCCTAGTCACGCCCATGCAAGAAGCTTTGACGAAAATATCGTCATCATTATAGCGAATGACCATTTTTTTTTACAGTATCAAAATTTCTGACCCACCGATTTAATTGGCGAAAAGGGTCTTGCGGATTCTAGAATACTGCTGGAGAGTCACATTTGACCCGGAAAAATTGTTTTAACATGAGGGGGTTGCTCAAATTTGAAACTAAAAACTTGTGCGTTTTGTTTGTTTTTTTACTTTTCGCCCAACCAAACAAGATATTAAAACGCCTGGGCTCTCAAAAGATGCAGAGTTCAATTACATTACCAACGAGCTATGAATCATTGTCGTAGCACAAATATTTTCACTTTAAACACCGTTGTTACTATGGAAAAGCGGCGTTTAAAATGGGTGAATAGTGACTTACTCAAAACGTCGGTTTTTGACACTTTTTAGGCTCAAAAACTTCTTCATATTGCACCGTACCCTATGACGTGTGTTGACATTTTACGTTTGTCTTTTTGAGACAAATCCATTTCTGTAATTCTGAAATTTCTGAGTTTCTGTTATGCCAGAATTTCCTCCCTCTGACTTTGCCTGTTTTCAACCCCGCTTTTCCACAAATCTCGCAAATCTCGATGTTTCAAGTCAAAATATATGTGCTACGAAAATGATTCATAGCTCGTTGGAAGGGTAATTGAATTTCGCATCTTTTGAGACCCCAGGCGTTTTGATATCTTATTTAGTTTGGCGCAAAATCGAACCAAATTCAGGACCCCATTTCACCAATAACAACGGTGGGTCAGAAATTAAGGTCCACCCTAGTGTAGAGCAATAAAGTTCATACTTCCAAGAACAGGTCCACCAGTTCTTCGTAACATGGAGAACCCTTGAACTGCTGCCGCAGCACTTGAAACACAAGGTTCTCTACCAAGATGCCGTCGAAGGCTGAGGCCAGACCCACTTCGGGAAGCTTGCACCAAGCAGGCTTGTCCCATCGCACGACGCCGCCGTCTACCAGGTCGTCGACAATGCCGTACGACGCGTTCATCTAGGGAAAAATAGTTCGTTATTTTTGAGTTCCCAGCTCCACTGCGCAGGAACGCAACAGACAGACTCTCGAACGGGATGGGCTTTGCTATCGCTCAGCCAAAAGTTAAAAATAAAAAAGGCGTTAACAACAAAAGTATTATTGGTCAATACCGTACACACTAAATGTTTATGTAGAATTTTGTACGTGCCACCTGCACGATTTTGTGCATGCGGGGAATTTGCATAATATTAAGCGTGAAAATGCATAAATTTATGCAAATTCACGCACAATTTTATGCACGACGGCACACAAGTTTAAAATTATGCATCACCACGTACAAAATTGTACATAAACATTTAGTGTGTAGAACGGGGTAATATGAGACAAATTTCAAGGTTTTCAGTGAATTTCCTCCTTTTAATTTCAGCTTGAGGTGCTGAGGTGTTCATCACTTGTTCATTGACCCTTTGGCTACACTCCCTCCAAATTTCAGATTTTTAGGTGCAGTAGGGACCTTTAATAACCCTCGGAATGCCGGCCCATATTTCCCTGCAGTGTGGGGTAATATGAGACAAAAGGGAAGAAATGTTAAAGAAGTATGGAGAAGGGTCGCCACAAACTCTCCCTGAAACGAACTTGCTTTTGTCACAAAAAACGAACTTGCTTTCTGAAAGCTTGCTCTAAAAGAGCAAGTGCCTTTGAGAGGACTTTCCTCTTAATTTCTATTTAATTTATATTTAATTTCTATTTAATTTTTATTTCCGAAAGCAAGTCTTGCTAATGCAAGCGTCTCTCTCGGCTTATTTTTATTTTAATTTAATTTCAATTTAATTTCCATTTCTTTTTAATTTAATTTCGATTTAATTTTATTTTTGCCCCGTAATGCCCCTTACCGGCTAACACACTCCCCGAACGCGTCGGGGACCGTCCCCGAGCTCTGAGTGTCCTGGCGGCAGGGGGTATCGCCGCAAGCTGCCGCCCGCAGCGCGCGGCTCGATGGGTTGCCTACCCACCGGGCTGATTCCTGTTCCGCCCGAGTGCACCAAGCGGTAAGGACGGCGGCGAGCGCCACGAGCGCACCCCCCGGAACACGGGAGAGTTGTTGAACCTGGCCGCGCTAGAGAAGGCCCTCATCGTGAACCGCAACGTGCAACCAGTACGCGTCGACAAGCATGGAACCACGGAGGAACGCTCACCTCGTTCCTGTACATCTATCTAGAGTCTAAAACGGTTGCACAGACACTCCGACGGCATGGGGTTGCCGCCAGCGTAGTAAGCCTCACTAGCGCGTGGCACCCACCAACGCCACATGCAAAGCAGCCCGTCACCTAGACTTCGTTCACCGCTGGGCCTATGCTGCAGTCTGTGGTGGCCCGGGCGCGCGCTTTCGAGAGAAGAGAAGTCCGCGGCCGCACTCGCCATGCCACTGTCACCGGCAGCAGTCCGCGAAGGTCAAAGGGTAGCCCCGCGAGTGGCGCTGCAACTGGGGGGCGGTCTTGCAGTGCGCCACGGCGGCTGGGCCTGGGGCACGTCAAGGACAGCCCCGCCAGGGCGACACCGTACTACCTGGTGGCGGTCTTGCAGTGCGCCACGGCGGCTGGGCCTCGGGGCACGTCAAGGACAGCCCCGCCAGGGCGACACCGCACTACCTGGTGGCGGTCTTGCAGTGCGCCACGGCGGCTGGGCTCGGGGCACGTCAAGGACAGCCCCGCCAGGGTGACACCGTACTACCTGGTGGCGGTCATGCAGTGCGCCACGGTGGCTTGGCTTTGGGGAACGTTCGCAGAGGTCAAGGGCAGCCCTGTCCGTGGGGCGGCAACCGCCAGGACGTCACCGTAGTACCTGGTGGCGGCCATGCAGTGCGCCACGGTGGTTGGGCCAGGGCAATGTCCGCAGGGGTCAAGGGTAGCCAGGGGCACGCCCTCAGTCTCCTTGCGAACCGCACCAATGATGTACTAGTCGTTAGGCATTACCATCCTCTACTTCATTCTCGGGTCGTAAGGTGTGTCTACAGCATCGTCGTTCGCCACTCTTCCCCCGCGCATCCGCGTTCGAGCGACCCATGGGCTGCCGGCCAGCCACCGATGCACCGAAGGGCTGCTTGTGTGCTTCAGTGCTACGCGGTGCCTTTGGAACAGCACGAGTCCAGGTGACTTCCGCTCCGATATGATGTGCATTTGGTTCAGCGCAGCACGCGGCATTCCTTCTTGACCGAAAACGATCCGCCCCTGCGTAGCAGCCAAGGTAAACCCCACCCGATGTGCCCACTGCTTTTTGCTCTATGTACCTCAAGTGGTGTTGTCATGAGGCACCCATCTCTCGTCGCGTCAGCATGCACCTTCGATCACTTATAAAACTTAAGCGTACACTCTAAATTTCTTACGAAGAAATTTCCCATAATACGAAGGAAATGGCGCAAGCATAATACGAAGGTGGTTTTTCTTCGTATTACGAAGGTTTTTCTTTGTATCTTACAATGAAGAAGCTGAAAAGATTCGTATTACGAAGGAATATTGCTTCGTATTATGCTTGCGCCGAATTCACTGTAACATACAAATAACTTAGGTCAAATTTCATTGTAAGACATTTAGAGTGTAGGCCATGGACCGATTAACTAGAAAGGTGGATTTGCGTACAAACTTGAATAAAAAAAAACAAATTTAAAGGCAGCACGGTGTTGTTGCCTTGCAGAAGGAAAGGCAAACGAAGAGAAATATTGACAGGATTCTCCCTGCCTTGCGACGCTCAACTAATTCTCGCAGGAGGGGGAGGGGGCTGGAATGGTTGCCTACTTTTCGGGCGCTACCGAGCGTGCAGCAAGATTGCCTACCTCTCGGGTGCTTTCAGGCGCACAGACTGGGTGGCATGGGACAGGGGGGAGGTTGCGAAGAACGCCTCTACCTCGCAGTTTGTCTGGCCATGGCGCGGCGCAGCCGAGTGAAGAGCAGTCAGTCGCTGGACTGGCCACGTTCTGGGGAAGACCAAGCCACGTCTGCTTCCGGCTCATTTCGAGGCCGCTCTCTGGGCCTCCCTCGGGCGCTACGGTCAGTCCTTGCTGAAGAGCTGACGGCAACCACCAGGCAGTGCGAGCGCCGTCCCCTGAAACAGTGAAAGGTTCCGAAAGCATCGCGGTAAAGTATCCCGTGCGACGAAGAAGTGCAATAAGGAAACAGCGGGGCAAAACCCCAGCGGGGCGAAAGTGGTGACTCTTTTATTCTCAGTGCACAGTGGGCCAGAAGACCGGTGGAGGCGGCCAAAACTCTAGGCGCGTTTTGACCGCCTGAGTCGCTGAATGGGACTCGAAGCGAACGTGTGACCCCACAAACACTGAAAAAAGTTGTCGTAATTTTACGACATATTTGGCGATGAATGCTTCATAATTTTATGAATGGCTCGTTTCATGCTCACTACAAAAAAATCATAAATGAGCAATTATGAACCTTTCATATTATGGTTGAAAAAAGTGCCTGAAAATGCCCGAAAGGTATTCAATTTTACGACCATTCATAAATAATGAACCATTCATCGTTCAATTGTTCCTAAATTTACTATTTTTTAATGGGAAAATAGTGTACAAGAATGGCTCATGTAAAACTTTACGAAACATTCATAAATTTATGAACGATTCGTAACATTATGAATTACTCATACTACATTATGAAACATCCATAAAATTACGAATGGCTTGTGATGCTGTTACGTAAAAATTGGGGAATGAAACATTCATTTTGGGGTGTTTATGAATTATTCATTTATTCAATGAAGCATTCATAAAATAATGAGTGTTTCATAAAAATAATGAATCATTCGTCGTGAAATTATTCGTAAAATTATGAATTTTATGTGGGAAAATACTATACAAGAATGGTTCGTAATATTACGACTTTTTTTCTCTCAGTGAATGGATTGCTCTCCGAACGAAGAGTCTATTGATGGAGTCACACGTTCGGCTCGAATCCCATAAGCGACTCTGAAGCTCAAAACGCGTCCGGGATTTTGGCCGCCTCCACCGGTCTTCTGGCCCACTGTGCAGTGTGGGCCACTGCTGCGGCGATCATTTGAGGAAGTCCGGCGGAGGGCTTGCCTCTTTCTCTGAGGACGGTTGGTAACCGCGGACTGTGATGTCACCCTCAGCGGGGCTGCAACAGTTTCTCCTGACACGGGATTCGAACCTCGGACAGCAGAGTGGTGACATCACAGTCCACACGAGCGTGATTGTGGCCACAAAATTGTGGCCACAAAAACCCCAATAGGCTACCGCATGCAAACGGACTATACTTTCCGAAAACGGTAAAACATCAGCAGAGCGACATTGTGTGCTGTTTTTCTTATTCTCCTCGTCAATATCTACATTTTCCGAACTCAAGTTGTCTTTAACCACCTCGGTTCGGGAAATATTGGCTTTCAAAGATACGACTTTGTAACGCATGCTTTTGACTTTGGGACACCAAAATTCAAACTTTCCTGCGTCGGAGCGACTTTGTATGTACTGTTTCTTGTTCTCCTCGTCAATATCTACATTTTCCGAACTCAAGTTGAACTTTAACCACCTCGGTTCGGGAAATATTGGCTTTCAAAGATACGACTTTGTAACGCATGCTTATGACTTTGGGACACCAAAATTCAAACTTTCCTGCGCCGGAGCGACCTTGTGTGTACTGTTTCTTGTTCTCCTCGTCAATATCTACATTTTCCGAACTCAAGTTGAAATTCAACCACCTCGGTTCAGGAGATGTTGGCTTTCAAAGATACGACTTTGTAGCGCATGCTTATGACTTTCGAACACCAAAATTCAAACTTTCCTGCGCCAGGGCGATCTTGTGTGTACTGTTTCTTGTTCTCCTCGTCAATATCTACATTTTCCGAACTCAAGTTGAACTTTAACCACCTCGGTTCGGGAGATATTGGCTTTCAAAGATACGACTTTGTAACGCATACTAATGGCTTTCGGACATCAAAATTCAAACTTTCCTGCGTCGGAGCGACCTTGTGTGTACTGTTTCTTGTTCTCCTCGTCA